AGGAGGTTTTTTTGTTTTACTTTGTTTTTAATTGGGATTTTCTTTCTTTTGTGATGCCAAGAATTGAACTCAGGGCTTTGTGGGTGACCTCCAGCCCCCAACCCTTGGAGCCTTCCATGTGGAACATCATGTCATCTGTGACCAGCAACAACTTCACCCTTCCCCCTGCATGCAACTTCTTTCTTTGCCTCCTTCAGGAACTGGGAGTTCTTGAATATGGAGAAAGTGGCAGTGAAATTAGATACATTCACCATATTCTCCCAGGACCAGCATCTCTTTGACTGTAATGTTAGCTGCAGTTTACTGAGTTTTCTTCTCAGTCACAAATGGTTGATTTCCATCAAATAATCATGTTACTGCCCACTGTGACTTGTAGTTTCCTTATGTTAATCTCAGTCTCATCAGGTTTTTTTCTTAAGATATGTTTTGAATCTTCTTATGCTATGCGCATGTGTATGTGGATACGGGCACATGAGTGCAGTACCTGCAGGGGCCAGAAAAGGGTGTCAGATTCCCTGCAGCTGGAGGCACAGAAATTTTAATTACACCCATCTTTGGGCATGCGCATACACATGCCATGGCATGAGTTCAGAGGTGAGGGGACAACCTGTGGGTGCCAGTCCTCTCTTGCCGGCTTGTGGTCTTGGGGAATGAACTCAGGTAATTAGGTTTGGTGGTGTCTTCACCTCTGGCTCTTCGTTCTCATTCTGAAAGGGGTCCAATACTGTTGGTATGACTACATTTACCTCTTAGATGGAGCCTACCAATGAAATCATCTCAGCTTGGAACTCATGTTTTCAAAAATATTAACTATGAGTCCTAGTTCACTGATAATTACCGTACTCGTGATATTAGTCGGAAGTCCTAGTTCTCTGAGTTACCGTACACGTGTCACTAGTTGAAAGGCCAAGATGTAATAGTTCATAGCTAGCACTATTGACATTGCTCATGGGTTTTGGGAAAGTTTTAGTTTTTATGAACTTACCCAACTCATCCAACTTGCTGATTTTTTTAATTAGTATTCCTTTATCTTACTAGCTTTAAACTGAACAAAAAATGAAAACATAACACATTAAATCTGGAATCAGTTAACCCAGTACTGAGGAGGAATCACACTATTGAACTGTGTCAGAGGGAGAATCATTTCCTTCAGTGATCCAGCTACTGATAGATTGTTAGTTACTGAACATTGACTTTGGCTTGTTCTACAGTTACTAGCTAGGTTTTTCTTTGTTTTACGTGGAATCACAGGAACTAAAAGCTTCAATAACACACACACACACACACACACACACATACACACACGCGTGCACGCACACACTTGTACATTGCACAGTACCTCTGGCTTTCTGGAGCAGAGGTCACTTAGACAAGGAAGATACTTTTCTCATCTGGGCAGGCTCTCTAACAAGTACTTCTGTTACACATAACCCTTTGTTATCAGGGAAAAATAATGATGGTTCCAAAGTCTCCCAATAGGTTCTATGTAGGAGTTGGGGTATTACTCACTTGTTTCTGATTCTATTTAGAATGTAGCTAATAATACTCTGAACACTCCTCCATCTTCAGGCACTATTCTTTTTTTGGTTGTTTGTTTTAAAGTTAGGGACAGCTGAGGTTGGGGGACGGCTCAGAAGTGAAGAGCATGCCACACAAGCATGAGGACCTGAATTGGGGAATTCAGCAACCATGTAAGAAGCCAGATGTGGTGATGCTCACCTGTAGTCCCAGTGGGGCATAGAAGCAGACACCTGGTTTTTAGCAGCCAGCTAGCTCTGCTGAATCCAATAGTTCCAGGCTCAGTTAGAGAACCTGTCTCAGAAAACAAGTTGCAGAGCAACATGGGAGGCCACTCTGGGTGGATCTCCTGGTCCCCCACATATATATGCACACACGTACATATAACCTCATGCCCAGATGCACCCGCACACCTTCCTCTCACATATATGTGCACACACATGTACATATAACCTCATGCCCAGATGCACCCGCACACCTTCCTCTCACATATATATGCACACACGTACATATAACCTCATGCCCAGATGCACCCGCACACCTTCCTCTCACATATATGTGCACACACATGTACATATAACCTCATGCCCAGATGCACCCGCACACCTTCCTCTCACATATATATGCACACACGTACATATAACCACATGCACAGATGCACCCGCACACCTTCCTCTCACATATATATGCACACACGTACATATAACCTCATGCCCAGATGCACCCGCACACCTTCCTCTCACATATATGTGCACACACATGTACATATAACCACATGCCCAGATGCACCCGCACACCTTCCTCTCACATATATGTGCACACACATGTACATAACCTCATGCCCAGATGCACCCGCACACCTTCCTCTCACATATATGTGCACACACATGTACATATAACCACATGCCCAGATGCACCCGCACACCTTCCTCTCACATATATGTGCACACACATGTACATATAACCACATGCACAGATGCACCCGCACACCTTCCTCTCACATATATATGCACACACGTACATATAACCACATGCACAGATGCACCCGCACACCTTCCTCTCACATATATATGCACACATGTACATATAACCTCATGCCCAGATGCACCCGCACACCTTCCTCTCACATATATGTGCACACACATGTACATATAACCACATGCCCAGATGCACCCGCACACCTTCCTCTCACATATATGTGCACACACATGTACATATAACCTCATGCCCAGATGCACCCGCACACCTTCCTCTCACATATATGTGCACACACATGTACATATAACCTCATGTCCAGATGCACCCGCACACCTTCCTCTCACATATATGTGCACACACATGTACATATAACCACATGCCCAGATGCACCCGCACACCTTCCTCTCACATATATGTGCACACACATGTACATATAACCACATGCACAGATGCACCCGCACACCTTCCTCTCACATATATATGCACACACATACATATAACCTCATGCCCAGATGCACCCGCACACCTTCCTCTCACATATATGTGCACACACATGTACATATAACCACATGCCCAGATGCACCCGCACACCTTCCTCTCACATATATATGCACACATGTACATATAACCTCATGCCCAGATGCACCCGCACACCTTCCTCTCACATATATGTGCACACACATGTACATATAACCACATGCACAGATGCACCCGCACACCTTCCTCTCACATATATGTGCACACACATGTACATATAACCTCATGTCCAGATGCACCCGCACACCTTCCTCTCACATATATGTGCACACACATGTACATATAACCTCATGTCCAGATGCACCCGCACACCTTCCTCTCACATATATGTGCACACACATGTACATATAACCTCATGTCCAGATGCACCCGCACACCTTCCTCTCACATATATGTGCACACACATGTACATATAACCACATGCACAGATGCACCCGCACACCTTCCTCTCACATATATGTGCACACACATGTACATATAACCACATGCACAGATGCACCCGCACACCTTCCTCTCACATATATATGCACACACATACATATAACCTCATGCCCAGATGCACCCGCACACCTTCCTCTCACATATATGTGCACACACACGTACATATAACCACATGCACAGATGCACCCGCACACCTTCCTCTCACATATATATGCACACACATGTACATATAACCTCATGCCCAGATGCACCCGCACACCTTCCTCTCACATATATGTGCACACACATGTACATATAACCACATGCACAGATGCACCCGCACACCTTCCTCTCACATATATGTGCACACACATGTACATATAACCACATGCCCAGATGCACCTGCACACCTTCCCCTCCAAAGTTAGAGAAAGCCAGAATCAAACTATGGATCACTATTCTTTAAAGTGGCTTTGAAATCAAGAGTTCAAACTTGAGTAAGGTAAGACTATACAACTAAGTGATATGTAAATTATTTTAATCTAGATTATAATGTAAAAAAAAAAGTCTTACTTTTCTCTTGATGTAATACCTTAAAAAAAAAAAAAAAAAGCAATTTAGTGGAAGACTTCTTTTGGCTTAGTTCCAGAGAAGCAGAGTCTATGGTGGAGACCTGGGGGGGGGGGAGCGGGCATGGTAGGAGGCAGGGAAGGTATGGTGGCAGAAGCTGAAGGCTGGGCGGTCACACTGCATCTGCACTCAGGAAGCTCTGAGCAAACAGGAAGCGGGGCTGGACTATAAAGCCTCAAGATTCACCCCGGGCACTCCGATTCCTCCAGTAGGGCTGTACCTCCTACAGGTTCACAACCTATCCCCAAAGCACCACCAGCAGGGGACCATGTGTCCAAGCATGACTGTATGGGGGACATTTCCTGTTCAAACCATAACTACAAGACATTTTAACTTTTGGTGTGTCTGCACACATGTATTGAGTATGCCAGAGCATCAGGTGCCCTGTTCTATAACACTTCATTACTCCCTTGAGACAAGAATCTTTCTTACTGAAACTGTTTTGGCTAGGTTGGTGGTCAGCAAACTGTAATACCTTGCTGTCTCTGGCCCTTCTACTGCTGGAGTTACACAGAGTACACTGCCATGCCTAACCTTTTATATGGTGCTGGGGCTGTGAACTCAGTTCCTCCTGCTGTTCAGTAAGGGCTCCTACCCACAGAGCCATCTCTCCAGTCCTTGGATATCTCAACTTTATAGAGATGAAGAGTGGGTGGGTAGGAGGAGAAAGGGAGAAGTTTTGTGTTGAGACAGGGTCTTAGTATGTAGTCCTGGCTAGTCTTGTATTTATAGAGATCCACCTGCCTCTGCCTCCCAAGTGCCGAGATTAATGGCCTGTGCCACTATGCCAGCCTGGACATCTTTTCAATGGGTTTAGTTTTCACTTCTGAAGTCAGTGTGGACAGACCCAGCACTCCTCAACTGCATGCTTAACAGTAGGTTAGATGTCGAGAAGAAAGAGAACACAGTGCCTGACATTGAGTTGACAATTTTATTTTCTTAAGAAACATCTAGACAGTGCTACAGGCAGCCCTAATGTATCTACAGCGCTGTACGTAATAGGACAGTTGCTCACAATGACATTTTAAAGCACTGAAGGAGAGCAAGTGCTTTCTGAATCCAAGAAGTCCAAATATATTCAGAATGGGTCTTAATGTCCTCACTGGATCAAGGTTTTAATACCTGCCATTTGGGGACCTAGGCAACCAGAACACCCAGTCACATAACTGAGGGTAACATCCCTTGGTGAAAACCAAGTCTTCTGGTGACACACACTAGTTACTATCTCCATATACAGACTTAAAATCCTGGTTTCTGTCAACTGACACATTGCTTAGATTAAAAATACATTTAGACACCTCTACTATACAAGCAAATACACAACCAACTTAAGGCTATCAAAGTGCTGACTGTTTTTACAGGAACATTAACAATATGACAGATGTTCACGGATGTACTCTACATTGTAACCAATTTTGTGATTTTTCTAAGCAACGGACACCTCGCCAGCCCTCCAGTTCTTCTCCCCTCCTCCTATTTCTTGGCTACACTCAGTCCAAACTGTTGGCATCTGTGGCTCCGTCCGTGCCCACCCTTCCTCACCGCTACCAGGTCTGCAGGGACCGGACTCCAGCAGGGAACTAATATTAAACTTATACAAAAGAGTATTATTAAAGACACTGTCTTTAAAATACACAGAACATATCATGCCAAAACATACAATAGACTGGTAACACTGGTACATGGCACATAGAATTTACATTTCCAAAACAGAACAACTTAAATATTAAAACGTACCTTTATGTTGCCCAATGTAACAAATGGCAAAATATGATATGAAAATCACAAAATCCACGAGTTTTACATGCTGTGTACCACAGCATGTGGTCATATTTCTATCACTACTCCAACTACATACCAGCAGCGCTTCTTCAAGCTACGCTAGGGTTTAGAACCTAATCAGAAATTTATACGAAACACAATTTTATGTTCAAATATGGAAATGAGTAACATAATTCCGAAACCCAGAAGTATCCCAGCATTCTGCAGGAAGAAATAACCCCAACGGCTGCATCCGTGGTCACTAGCGTCATTGTGCAGCATCTCAGGCACCTGAAGGAGGCAAAAGCATCAGTTGAGCTTCCAGAAGTACAGACAGGCTCTAGAAGAATCGGTACGGTCGTGTTGATTGGGGCTGGATAAAGTATGTATCAGTTCCCAAGAACTCAACTTTTATATGCACACTGACTCTGGTAGGGCACAGACTTGAGCATGTCCTAGCAGCTGACTATAAACGACAATGACTATTGTGGCATTCTGAGCAGGTCAATACTCAGCCCACTGTTAATGAGATGTGATGCTGACGTCCCTGTTTCAGATACTGTCTGCATGTTTAAGGTCCATGTCTAGAACTTTTTGTTTGTTTTTCCCCATGACAGGTTTTCTCTGTGTAGCCTTGGCTGTCCTGGAACTTGGTCTGTAGACCAGGCTGACCTGGAACTCAGAGATCCACCCGCCTCTGCCTCCCAAATGCCGGGATGAACGGCATGTGCCATCACTGACCAGTTTAAGGTTCACTTCTAACGCAGAGAGGGAAACTCTCACCCTCCTTAAAATACAAGTTTAGCAAGATTTCATCCTAGGTGGAGTTGGTGACAAAAGAATTTTACTTTGTCAATAAGGGAATTTTAAGCATAGCCTATTGACAACATTGGCTTGGGCTGGGTTTACTTCGAGTTTATAGACAATTCAGGACCTAATTCTACTCTGAAAAGGTAGAACAAGGAAATGGGTTTTCATGGGTTTCTTGGAAACCCTTGGGTAGGAGAAAGTGTGTAAGTGACCAACAGTGAAAACAATGAACTCAAAGGGACTTACACTCAAAGGTACTTACACTCAAAGGGTACTTACACTCAAAGGGTACTTACACTCAAAGGGTACTTACACTCAAAGGGACTTACACTCAAAGGGACTTACACTCAAAGGGTACTTACACTCAAAGGTACTTACACTCAAAGGGACTTACACTCAAAGGGTACTTACACTCAAAGGTACTTACACTCAAAGGGTACTTACACTCAAAGGTACTTACACGCTTAACTCTCATCCTTAGGGATCCAGAGTCCCTTTGCATCACGGGAACTTACCACCACTTTTGCAATAAATTAAAAAAAAAAAAAAAGAAAAAGATTGCTGGGAACAGAACCCTAGCCCTCAGGAACAACAAACAGTATGTGCTCTCAGCAGCTGAGCCCTCTCCAGGCCCTGCAATAACTTTTACTGAACACTTCCGGTTTCACTTTGTCAATGCCTCCGACTTCTTGGAAACTTACCATGTCAACCAGAGCGACATACATGAACAAGCCGGCAGTAAGTGCAAATATCCACATAGAAACATTTTCTGCATAATGCCCGATGAATATCCCTGTTGCCATTCCAAGATACGCCAGCATGGCTGACAGGGCATTATAGAGAACAGCCTGCTTGACGGTCATGCCGGCCTTTAGCAAAACAGCAAAGTCACCTACAACAGAAAAAAACAAACGAGGGCAAAGTCATCGGGGATAATTTTAACACACGCCTAAGAGAGGTCTTAGATTTAAAAAGTCTGAGTTTTCTAAAGGGGAACACAAAGGAAGAGTATGAGGGCTAGAACATTGATAGTGAGTGTAGTCACCCCAACAGTTCTACAAACCTAAGAATTATCTAACATTTCTGAAGGGTTCTTCTGTGTCCGTGATGTCTGCTGTATCCTTGTACTGTCTTTAAAGGGGTTGACACTGCAGGAGCAGCAGGAGTTCAGTTATCCTGAGCTACCCAGTGAGCTTAAGGCTAGCCTGGGCTACATGAGACCGAATCTCAAAAACACTGAAACAGACAACAACAAAACAAATGGCAACAGAGGGCGCTGCAGAGCTCACATGATCAGCAACTGAACCCATAAAGGGAATACCTAACAAGAGCTACTGAGTCACGAGATGGAAGTGGTTAAACTTCCCAGGGCAGGGAGGACTGAGAATGCGGGACCAAAGGGAGACACAGGCGTACGTATGCATGTGCCCCGTGGAATGATGGGAAGCCTTCTGAATGGCTGCAAACATGCCAAGGAACAAAAGTGAAAAAGTGTCAGAGTGTGTGAATCAACATGTGCCCACGAGAGGAGACACCAGCACATGAACTGGAACTCAAACAACCCAGGGAGTTCTCAAATTGTAGAGTGACTAGAAGTGCAACTCCCTGACTCCTTTCCTTCAGCTCTAAGACATTACACTTCTCTCTCTCTCTCTCTCTCTCTCTCTCTCTCTCTCTCTCTCTCTGTGTGTGTGTGTGTGTGTGCGCGCGCGCGCGCGTGCATGTGCTCGTGCACCCACGCTTGGGCATGCGTATGAATGAAGGCACTCAAGGTCAGATGTGAGGGTCAGCTTTCCTGCCCTTAGGATTTTCCACCTTACTCCTCTGAGGCAGTCTCTTACCGGACCCTGAGCTAGCTGGCAGTCAGCAAGCCCTAATGAGCCTCCTGTCTCCATCCTCCAAAGCACTTTGTTACAGGGACACACCCAGTGCTGGGATCTGAACGCATGCTTTCACAGCAAGTGCTCTTACCACTGATTCATCAATCCAGACTCTGTTTTTGTAGGTGGTACTGGGAACTAAATCTGGGGTGCCATGGATTCTCTCTAGGCAAATGCTCTACCATGGAGCTACCTACCACACAAGCTAGACCCTCTTTCTTAAATTCCTGACTTAATTTTAGAAGTGTTCCTGTATACGCTGCAGTTCTCTTTTGGGGGTAGTGGTGGTGGGAGACAGGCTGGCCTTAAACTATGTGGCTGAGGACCACCTTCAATTCCTCTTCCTCCTGCCTTTACCTCCCAGGTGCTGGGATGACAGTCCTGTACACTCTACTGTAGGTCCACAACCACTCATGTCCCCAGGATGTCAGCACAGGAAGAGACTTGGTAAAGAATGGATACGGCAGGGGCCCAGGTACTGATGGACAAGCCCACACAGGCATCATGTACTTGTAGGGTCAGAATTCTGGCTGCAAGCAATTTTGTGTCCAGTGAGAAAGAAGGGCAGTTAGATGAGCACACAGTGGGAAGCCGAAGGCTATGAAGATGCCACTAGAGTGCTCCTTAGCCGGGCCCCAAGAGCAGCACACCTCATTCTCACAGGAAAAGCGGTCCACAAGCTCCTCTTACCTAATTCATGAGGCAGCTCATGACAGAACACAGCAACAGAGGTGCTCAGTCCGCTGGACAGGCCCTCAGTGAAGGCAGCACCTGTGTAAATAAAGCCAAGAAAGGTTGGGCTGGGAGTTCTGAAATCTTGTCAGACAGAAAATGACAGAAAAACAATGACATTAAATTCTGGCTGTGTATAAATACCATCTCCCCACCTCAACCTTTATATTCTTACTAAAAAAGAAAAAAAGTTACAAGTTAGCCATGACGTTATGTATCTATAATTACAGTACTTGGAGGAAGGGGCAGGAGGATCTCTGTGAGTTTGAGACTAGCATGGTGTACATAAGGACCACCAAGTCAGCCAGAGCCACATAGAAAAATCAATATGTAAATACATATTTATTCTACTTGTGTGACTATGGTACTTGGGAGGTCTGAGGACAACTTGTGGGAGTTGAGGCTCTCCTTTCCTGATGTGGATGCTAGGGATGGAACTCAGGTAGCAGGTTTGGTGGCAAGTGCTTTTACCTCCTGAGTTATCTCTCAAGCCTCAACCCCTATGTTCTTTATAAGAAATCTCAGAGCACATCTTATTGGGCCTAAATTTCCCTGGGAAGCACAGGCATGTGTGACAGGGAAGGAAAGGTTCAACTGTCTAGCAATGAGCTGCTATCTACAAACTGGAGAAGGGTCTGCTATCATATAAAACACTGATCTGATTAGAGGAAAGCCCTCTGCAGTCAGAAGTGCATAAGCATTTCACTGGCCTCAGAGGAATTCATGATGTCATCAGACCTGTGTACATGTATCCTTTTACCATTCCACAAGGAGGCCCAAGACGGAGCCCCTCCCACCTAAAAAGCTAATTTCTTCTGCTGACCAATTACCTATCAGTTCCTCTCGTGTCAGCCTAAGTGACTGTGGGAAGGAGAACAGACCCCCAGCGGCACAGATCCTAGATTATTAGTAATTACTTCATTGTCACAAAGTAAACAAAAAGATATTTTGGTAATTTTGGAAGTCAACATCCTCACCTAAATTAATCTATGTTTTGTTAAATTTGAATGAGCATTTAATGTACTATTCCAGGCCAACCATCAAGGACCAGCTATGCAGCAGCATACCGATTGCAAGGCCATCACTGAAGTTATGCAGCCCATCGCCCATGATCACCATCCAGGCCAATGTCGCAATGCCAGCATCCTTCAGCTCCTCTCGAGAGTAGCGCTGGCTGTGGCTGTGGGGGTGGTGGTTCTGGTGGTGGTGGTGGTGCAGGATGTGATGGTAGTCGTGATGGTGGTGAATGAGGTCATCCGACTGGCCCAGGGCGTCATGGAAGTGTGAATGGCACTTGTTCTTACAGCCCCTGGGCACATATTCATTGTAGACTTCTTGTGGGTGTGCATGCGCTATCATGACCTCTTCCTCTTCCAACACTGTTGGCTGCTGGGAATCAAACGGGGAGGGCTCCTGGGAGTCCGCTTGTAGATAACTTTCAGGTCCTAGGGACAAACATAAAGAACGCTGGAACCAAACAGAAAAGGCTTGCTGATGTCCCACTGATGACTGATCATCTCTAGGCCTGGTGGCTCTCAGCTCTCCTTGCAAGATAAAGCAGTAGCACAGCATTGATGAGGAATGCCAACAGGTTCTAAGCCATTCTCCAAAGGGAAATATATCACATGCTAAGAAGGGTTTCAAGTGCATAGTTCTAGCACTATCGAAGCTGAGGGAGGGTTACTTGGCTTCAAGATCAGCCCAAGAAACACAGTGAGAGATCCTATCTCATCAAATAAAGAGTTTAATGTTTAATTACATTATTTATTTTAGCATGCACGGGAGTTGGTGGCACACGGCATGTATGGGGACGTCAGAAGACAACTGTCTAGACTTGTCTTGCCTTCTATCAAGTGGGTCACGGATTGAGGATTGAATTCAGATAATTAGGTTTGATATTCAGCACCCTTGTCAGCTAAGCTACCCATCTTACTGGCTCTTTTTCCTCTTAGTTCCCCCCTGTCTCTAATGACCTTTATTTATTTATTTATTTCATTTCATTTCATTTCCAGACAGGGTTTCTCTGTGTAATAGCTCTGGCTGTCCTGGAACTCCCTTTGTGGACCAGGATGGCCTTAGAACTCCCAGAGATCAGCCAGTCTCTGCCTCCAAGTGCTGGAATTAGAGGCACCCGGCACCATCATCCAGCTTACTGACTTACTTTTAATTACAGGGAAATTTTCAAAATTGTAAATGCATTTTGACATGTTGATTTAAAATTGTTTAGAACAGGATTGTTCTCAAACAGTAAAATGCTAGTGTTTTTTCACTTTCTCTGACTTTTCTGTCCAATCACGCATCTCTAAAACTGTTATGATTACTAACAGTGGTGTATGGTACTTTTACAAATGAGAAACTGAAAATAAAAATTAAAAAAAAAAATCTCTCTCAAATTGTCCACAGCCCATCTGAAACTCAGCCCTCTTCAGACACACTCCATTTTCCTCTCCCTCTCTATCAGTATCAGGACTTGTAATTGTCACAGACTGCAAAGTGAGAGATGAGGGGATCTCACTGCGACACATCCAAGTTTTAGTCAGGACATGAAATGCAGAATTTTAGCTTCCAAATTATCTGCAGTGCCTAGGTGCCTATCCTGTGAACTATGACAGTGACTTTAACACAGTCCTCTGGGTCGAGAGAAAGGGATGTGTGTAGTGAACATATTTTTCCATTCCAGTTTTTTTTTTTTTTTTTCTCAAACATGCAGTAGTGTTTCGCCATGGGTTTTGGGTTCCCTGGAACTGGAGTTACAGACAGTTGTGAACTGCCTGTTGGTGCTGGGAGTTGAATCCAGGTCCTCTGGAAAAGCAGCCAGTGAGTGCTTTTAACTGCTGAGCCATCACTCCAGCCCCCTGGTGAACACATTTTTAAACTCCTGTATGATTTAAAAATTTTCAGTACCAACAAAGGCATTCTGCAGACCACAGTCACAAGGCAGGCAATCCCCTTCCTAGCTATCTAGAGCAGAAGATTCATAGAGGAAATGGCCCAGGCTTGGGAAGAGAGGGGTCCAGTTCCACCAACAGCCAGGCTCAGAGCTTATTTTTACTTTAGGTTTTTGGGACAAGGCTCCATATAGCCCATGCTATTCTTCAATTGTTATGTATCCGAGGATGACCATGAACTCCCGATGCCTGTCATCACCTCTCAAGTGCTGGATTACAGGCTTGCAAAAAGCCCGTTTTTGTTTAGTTTTTGTTTTTTTGAGACAGGGTTTCTCTCTGTGGACGGTGGCTGTCTTAGAACTCTCTCCTTGACCAGCCTGATCTGGAACTCAGAAACCTGCTCCCTGAGTTCTGGGATTAAAGGTGTGCAGTCACAGCTACCACCACACCACTACCACCTGGCTCAAAGCCTGGCTTTACGTGGTGCTGGGAACGGAACCCAGGGCTTCAGGCATGCCAGGCAAGAGCTCCCAGTGGAGCCACATCCTCACCCCGAATAAAAGGCTTCAAGCAGTATTCTCCATAACTGTCCCCCTGATGATCCCTTAACGGGGTTTTCTCATTAAAAACAATTACATCCCAGCACTTGGGAGGCAGAGGCAGGTGGGGTTATGTGAGTTCCAGGACAGCCAGGGCTACACAGAGAAACTCTGTCTAGAAAAAAAACAAAATCAACAACAAACCAAAAAAAGTATAGACCTATCAGTCGACTTCCTATTTATCAGGTGACAAAATTCAAGGAAAACAACAACAACAACAACAAAACAACCTTAAATTACTTTATCATCATCGACAAGAAACATTTATTGGCTGGGCCTGGTGGCTCTTACCCACATTCCACATTGATTATCTGCTTGGACAAAGAAAAAGTAAACTGTGACAGCAAGGCTAGTCTTCATCCTATGAAGTGTCCCCCTGACCACTTTTCTGGTCCTATCATTACAAACTTCACTGAAGTCCACTCAGAACCCTAAAGTATCAGCCACAGAGAAGAGTCAATGTGTTTCAGTTGGAAAATGCAGAGTGAACTGGGAAGCTTGCTTACCCACAAGCTGAGTCAGCAGCTAACTGTTGAGCTCCTGTCCTGTGTTAAGTATTATGGGTTGTTTGTTTTAGAGTTTTGCTGTGTAGCCCAGGCTGGCCTCACTCTCCTAATCTTCTTGCCTCAAGCCCCTAAATATTGGGATTACTGGCATGTGACCCTAGGCCCAGCTGTCCCAGCTGTTCCGGCAGACAGACACAGGGAAACATCAGAAAACATCTGCCTTCAAGAAGTTAGTCGACTCTGTGATACAAGTATGCAATTGTGAAACTCCCTAAAACTACACTTAAAACCGTGACTCTAAATGAGTAGAAAGAAAAAGACACACAAGTCCCTTTCTTGGACTCAGAGGAAGTTCACTTGAGTGTCTGTAACAAGGGTACTTCCCTTATGATGTCACTCCAGTTCAGCTCTCACTTCGGAAGGAAGCGAGAGGGTGCCGGCAATATGTAACTGTACTCACACCAAGTCCCTGGAGGCACAGCTGGGGGAACACTGACCCCCGAGACTGAGCAGTTAACTAGTGATGGCCCTGCAGTGCAGGAGGCATTGGAGGGTGTTGCTGGCCCCTTGCCTGAGATTCCAGCCAGGTGTATGTTACTCTGCCCTAATTGTATATAGTCTTATGATCTCTGAAGGGGTGAGTGTATGGAGGATGGAAAGTTAACTGAAGGGAGAGTCCATCCACGCAGCTATGGGGAGAATTTTGGGTGGTATGGATGCTTTGGGGCCACCCATGTTCCTATAAGCCAAAAAAGCTCATTCATTCCCCAAGTTAGGTTCTGGTGAAACCATACTTGGGCTTGTCATTGGCTCTGTCTTGGGTGGGTGGGGAGAGCAGGCATTTGTTTCTATTTCCCCAGGCAAAGAATTCATAAAACAGACATTCACACATGAACCCTCCAGCAGTGATTACTCTGTGGCAGTTCCTATGACTCAATGAGAGGCGCGGAGGAAGGCCTTTGACACACTGAGCCACATATGGCCACAGCCAACACCTGCTAAAGCTCAACTCTATCTCGTAGCAAATAAACAGGATTTCTGTTAGTCTCACATCAACTGAGTTGTCCTCAGGAGACTAAGTGCTTAGAGGCCTGAAGAGCACTCACAGCCTGGGCCACAGCTGGGGTGTCTGCTGTATGTGCCCTCCCTCCCTCCCCTCCCCTCCTCACTTCCACAGTAAGTTGACAGTGTTAGCTCTATTGTGCCATGCTCATTTCCTGGGCACCAGCCACCCAAGCCTGTGGATCCGAAGCCTGCTGAAAACGGTTAGATAATTTTTAAAAATCATGAGATACTTTAGGGAACAAAAAAACAGGTCACAGACCCATCTCTTCCAGACGGTTCCAGCTGCCCTGTGTCCCAGTGCCAATCTGTTTGGAAGACTTACGTTCACCTGTATCCATCTTCTCCTCATTTGTGGAAAGCTGAGATTCGTATTTGGACAGCTGCTTCTTAATCTCCACATCCTCATCATTTTCGGGTTTCTTTTGATTCTGAAACAGCCAGGAAGAGCAACAGTTTGAGACAGCTGATTTGCTTACGTGCACAGCTACAGCTGGGGCTGTAGCTGGGGTCAGAGCACTTGCGTACCAGAGTGGGGACCTTGGGTCCAACCCCTAGCGGCACACCCAAGCAAAGACCAGGCAAGCAAAACAGAGGAGGCAACAGAGCTGACACACCTAGAGGAAACCAAAACCCTCCAAGGACTGGGTGTCGGCTCGTTTGTTTAGCACCTAGTATGGCCTTTTGCTGTATTAGCTATCAAAAAGGCAAAGGATGCCCAAATTAAGAGAAATACCACAGTCAATCTTCCTGTGTGGCCTGCACCAGCTACTGCAGTGGGTCATGTGGTCAGTGTTAGAACTGCACATCCTGGAGCACAAGAGGACTGGCAATGATTCAGAGTGTGGACTTTAATTAGATCCGGGGTGATTCATCCCTACATCGAAACTGACAAACTCTACCGGTGTTACACATTTAGGGCCAGTTACAGCCATTTCCTTCAAGCTTGCTTATCTCCGGGCCACTTCTTGGACATCGAAACCTACACTTTTTGGTATTTTTTTGTTATGAAAACTAAAGTACTTTTCCTTAGTAAAACAGTGCTAACATTAGTTTTCATTTCTCTGTCTGTGTGCATGTGTGAGAGCATGGGAGCTCAAGGTGGCAGAGCTGCCTGAGTGGGTTCTGAGACCCAAACTCGGTCTTCTGCAAGAGCAACAAAGCTACCACTGGGCCACATTTCTACTCTGAGAACGTTTATGTTGCAGAGGCCGCACTGAACAATCAAGCCTGTGCATTATCTATTTACATAGAAGACAGTATTTTTAATTATAGAAATTATCACACAAATAATACTTATTATTTACATTACATTTAAAGAGCAAGACACACCTAGTCACCACTGTCTTGCAGCTGTTTCCCAGAGGACAGGAGCTTTAAGGCAGATGAGGATCATGCAATTCTTTGCTTATAATCATGGATACATTTGATAAAAGAAAACCATAGTGTGCTATCAGAGTGTATAACAAGACCTGAAGGAGTTTCAGGATGTGTTCTTCAAAAATTCAGCACTTGAAACAAAATGTAAGGGTGAGCAGGACTTTGGAGTGAAGGATGGGGAGGCAGGATTTGTAGGGAGTTTTTTAAGCATGAGGGAAGGCCCTCAAACAGCAAAGATCCAGTTCTTGCCTGGAACTAAAAGAAATTCATGATAGTCTGAAAGGACCCTGATGGGGATTGTTCTTCTGTGTATATGTTTCTCTTATTGGTTGATGAATAAAACAATGTGGCCAATGCGGCAGGAAGATAGGTGGGTCCAGGAGACAAGGAGAATTCTGGGAAAGGTAGGCAAACAGAATCATCATTAGAGAAGAAAGGACATGCCAAGGCGTTTTTCAGTAAGCCAAGACAACGTGGAAATACAGGTTAATAGAAGTGGGTTAATAATTAAGACAGAGCTAGCCAATAAGAAGCACAAGCCAGCAGCCAATAGTTTTGTAACTAAGATAGCGTCCATGTGTTTATTGGAGGCAAGGCAGCTGCAGACCCTCTCTCTAAAAGGTGGTTGGGTTAGAGTTAAAACTGCAGGCCAGGTAACACAGAGCCTGCTGAGAGTGGCCTTTATCTACAGAGCAACAGGAAATCACTGGAGGATTCTGAGCTGAGGTTTGGGGCACAGCCTGTTTTGTATCAATAGAGTAGGCAGGGAGACGGAATCTATGTAGACAGGCTGGGGAGGAGGGGAGACAACTTCGGCCTGGACAAGCATGACAGCAAAAATGGTTGGGGAAATGGAAAGACTGTGGACATATTGACCAAAGCTGGATCTGATGGAGACCGTGGGATGTCACAGAGATTGGTTCCTAGTGAGAGCTGTAGCTTTCACAGTTGGAAAGGATTTGTGAGGTCAAAGTGCTGTATAGGTGAGCAGTGACTAATTGGAATGAAGATTTCCCACCGACACGATGCAGGTGACTGACCACACCTGCCACACAGATGCTCTGGGCACAGCTTGGACTCCTTAGGGGAAATACCCTCTTGCTTCTGACTCTCATTATACAGTATTTTTTTAAAATTTTACTTATCCTTATGAGGGAAAAAAAAATTTAAGTAGCAATAAGACCTGAATGATCTTTAAAAAGAAACCCAACATTTTCTATGATGGGAACAGAACAGGTAATGTTTGCAAAACTCGGTGAGGACTACCTGGAGTACCTTCTGATGTCTCATGTTTCCTCCACTTCATAAGCATTCATCATCATCTACTACGTGCCAAGACTCAAAGTGGGCAGAGAGAAGTGCACAGGACACAGATGTCCCGGATCTTCCCGATTATTTTCGACTGGATGTCTTCAAATAGGGACAACCAACTTCCCTGTGACTAATCTCAGCAATACGAAGATCACATTGCTGCTGCCCTGGCCCAACACCTGCCTCAAGTTCACTGGTGACTCCCACAATTGGGAAATAAACTGCTGTATTTTACAGAGTCGCCTGTCCTTTAGAGTGCAGTTAGGCAAAATTGATGTAAGAATTGAAAACTAGGGCTGATGAGCTAGCACAGTGGATAAAGGATACTTGCTGCCAAGCTTGATCTCTGTCCCTGGGACCCATGTGGTATAAGGCAATTAAGTCGTCCTCTTTGCTTCCACATGTGCATCATGGCATGCAGGTACGTGCCCTCCCTCACCTAAATGTAATTAAAACATTGGAGCTAACTAAAATAAAGATATTACACAAATCAGGGTGTTTGAAAAAGAAACACAGAGTCAGGAGTGATGGTGCACATCCTTCAAACCAGCACTTGGAAGGCAGATGCAGGCAGATCTTCTCTGAGTTCAAGGCCAGCCTGGTCTACAGAGAAAATAAGACATCCAGGGGCTACACAGAGAAATCATCCTGCCTTAAAATAATAATAATAATAATAATAATATAATGATAATAAACAGTAAAAATTAATCAAAACCTCACAAGCCCAAATTTCAAGTATCCCCTAGGTAAAAAGAGAACAAATTAAAAAAAATTTTCCTTTTACTATTTTTAATTATGTATATGTGTGTGTCTGTGTATGGGTATGTGCACATGAGTGCAGGTGCCTACAGAGGTCAAAAGAGGGCATTGGATTCCCTGGAGCTGGAGTTATAGGTGGCTAGAAGCTCCCTATATGGATGCTGGAGAAGAAACTTGGGTTCTAAGGAAGTATATATTCTTTATATACTCTCTAGCTCCTGATCGTATCTGTAAAGCTAAGAAGAATTCCAAAGGATATAAAAAATAGGACATTTCTTTCAACCAGTCTGAGTGTAGCAATGGAAACAGTCACATGGATCATGATTTTTGGACATTAAAATGAAGTGGCTGAGCTGGAGAGTTGGCTCATGGCTTAAAATCATTTGCTACTCTTGCAGAGGACCTGGGTTCAGCTCCCAACACCCGCATGTGGCTCACAAACACCAGTAACTCTAGTCCCAGGGAATCTGATGCCTTTTCTGATTTCCACAGGCGCCAAGAAACATATGGTACACATACATACATGCAGGCAAAATATTCATACATACAAAACAATAAAAATCTTTTAAAATTTGAAGAAATGAAAAGAATAAAGAAGCTATTCTTTCATTTGTATTGTCTTTTGGGACAAGGTATCTCATACTCTGGCCTCATATTTGGTATGCAGATGAAGATGACCCTGAGATCTTTTTTTTAAAACATTTATTATGTATACTGTGTTCTTTGGCCTAAACACCAGAAGAGGGCACCAGATTTGATTACAGATACTTGTGAGCTACCATGTGGTTTCTGGGAATTGAACTCAGGACCTCTAGAAGAGCAACCAGTGAACTATTTCTCTAGTCTAATCCTCCTCCCTCCACCTTTCCAGGTGCTGAGATTACAGGCATGTGACTCCATGTCTACCTCAGGAGGAAGCTATTTTATTTAAGTCTTCCCTCAAAACTTGGGTCCATTAAACAGAGGATTCATATCTGTAACACATGACTTTTAACAAATCTGTTTTTTGGGGGGTTTTGTTTTGACACGGGTTTTTTTGTGTAATAGCCATGCCTGTCCTGGCTCTGTAGACCAGGCTGGCCTCGAACTCAGAGATCTGCCTGCTTCTGCTTCCTGAGCGTGCCACCACCACCTGAAAATCTGTCTCATTATGTAGTCCATGCTGTCACAAAATTCATTTATGTAGGCTGGGATTAAACTCAGGGTACTCCTTTTTCCGACTTCTGTGCATGGGGATTGCAGGAGTGTGTCACCCTGCCCAGCCTACCATACGAGATCCCTGAGGGTAAATATTCATAGCATGGAGGCGACCACACTTCCGTTCACAGTGCTCGTTTCCCACCTCGAGCCTGCCGCTCAGTCAGAGCCAGCTCCGCTTCACTTTCAGGCTTTTCCATACCAGCCCTGCTGGTTGTATAATTGCACAACTTAATTACATGTTGCTTAAACTCCAAAATGACAGTGAGAATAGTTACTTCTGTGAACACAGAAGCTGAAGCTGAATGCATTTAAGATTCAAAGGCAGGTTCTGACCAAAAAAAAAAAAAAAAAAAAAAAAAAAGGCTAATTTATGCCAGGTGTCCATGGTTTAAAATGTAATATTTTCAAAATCTAACATCTATGTTCAGCATGTAACCTCTTGCTCTATTTTAAAGAAACCAAAGTTGGAAATTGTAGATGAGCTACAGCACTGGTGTAAATAAAAAGATAAAGGACTCACTACTACCCACCCTCAAAACAAAAAAGTGTTGAATCAGAGCACTTGTCTGGTTTTTATTTAAAAAAAAAATTTAAGTCTGGGTGGTGGTGTCACATGCCTTTAATCTCATCACTTGGGAGGTAGAGGCAAGTGGATCTGTGTGAGTTGGAGGCCAGCCTGGTCTACAAAACTACAAAGAGAAACCTTGTCTTGAAACACCAAAAAAACGAGACAGGTGCCACATGGCCTGTCTGGTCTCAAACTCACTATGCAGCTGAGGCTGGCTTTGGCAAGCTGAGAGTACAGCCATGCTTGCTGTACTCATCATTTTAAGAGTTCTTCTGCCAGTCTTTTTTTGTTTTGTTTGTTTTTGTTTTTCGAGATAGGGTTTCTCTGTATTGCATTGGAGCCTGTCCTGGAACTCACTCTGTAGACCAGGCTGGCTTCAAACTCACAGAGATCCACCTGTCTCTGCTTCCCGAGTGCTGGGACTAAAGGCATGTTACCACCACCACCCAGCTCTTCTGCCAGTCTTTTGACTGAGCTGCTTGACCACATTAGAGGAAGACCACCTTATGATTCAAACTTATTACTATCAGAAATAAAGAGCCTCTACTTGGCTTCAGAATAGTTTATGGTCCAATTTGCAAAGAATACACTTACAAGTCATGATTCTTTGAAACACAACAGAACCATAGCTATAGTGCAATTAATTTAAAACCAACACATACTAACGATATATCCATAACACTGTGGTCTCTAATACCAGGTCTCTGCTTTGGGTTCAGCTACACCTGTACACAGACCTTTAGCCTTTCTCTTATTGTCTAAGAAATACAAGGAATAAAGATGGCAAACTTAGGGTTGGGGCTAGAAGATAGCTCAGTTGGTAAACTGATTATTGTGCAACCATGAGGACCTGAGTTTAGATATCCAGAATCCCAAAACCACACGTGATGATGTGTGCCTGGGATCTGAGTGCTGGGGAGATAAAGACACGAGGATCCCCAGGGCTTCCTAGCCAAGTTGGCAAGCTCCAGGTTTGACAGAGGCCTGTCTCAAATAAGAAGGTGGATGGAGAGTAACTGAGGAGGACCCTGATGTTTGGATGGAGAGTAATTGAGGAGGACCCTGATGTTAACCTCTGGCCTCTATTCTAAGACATGTGCACAGAAGGCAGGCAGGTGCGCGAATTAGTGGGCAGGCAGGCCAGCTGCTCTATCCAGGGTTATCAAGATGCAGAATTTCTACATGAGTACCTCTGGGGCTAAAAGCACCGAATGCCTCTCACACAAAGATTATAGATTCTGGGCCTAAAGACCGCCAGAGGGCCACTCTAAGTAAGTGTCTGATGCATAGGAGATCTTTGGTAGCTGGAGTCTTACCTTCTTTTTCTTATCTTTAAATTGCTTGATCAATGTGAGGACGTGTTCCACAAGAAACATGAAATATAAGCCCCCTAGAGCTGTCAGACCTTTCCACGTGGAATCAAAATAGGTACTCTCTTCTATGTTCTGAGCCGACAGGTGACTGAACAGCGGACCTCTTTTCATTTCCATCGATGGTTCCTCATGGCTATGGCTGTGGTGGTGACTTGCATGAGACTAAAAGTGGAAAAGCAGAGTTTTTAGTCACCGTTTCGTATGTCAGAAAAACTGCCAGATACAAACTCATTCAGAATTAAGCAATTAGTCGGATACTGAAACAAACAAGAGGATGGTGGGCGGTTAATCACCTAGCGCTTCATGAATGCTACTCTATACACTTAACAGAGTGGGTCTGTATGGTGACCATCGTTAACTTTGAATATTTTCCATGTCTGACGTGTTACCATGGCCACAGTAACATAGACTTCGTATGCACTACTTCGTATCTACTACTTAGAGGTACCACTTGGAGGCTCGTACAAGGCTCATCAGGTCAGCCCAGTGAGAAGCCTGGTCAGTGCAGAGGGATGGGCCCTGCATGTACCTGAGAACCCGGGTGCTGCATCTGCGGCCTATGTAGTAGTGGCAACTAGCCGATGCTACTTCTGACAGGAAACCAACCGGGTGGGCAGCATCCTAACCAAGGGGTCCCCACTATGCATAGGTACTTCCTGCAGTGAGTCTGCCTAAGCACCTGTCATTTGGTGGTCAGAGACAGCCATTCAGAATAGTTCTCAATGAATCCAACATGAGATTGACAGTCTTCTAGGAAGGAGTTAACTTCTCCTTTCTACCAAACTGAAAATCTCTATGTCAAGTGTTCTTTTTTCAGTACTGTGTTTATTTATTTATTTCAGGCAAGTGCTCTACCATTAAGTCACATCCTCAACCCTCTAAGAAAAATGGAAAAAAAAAATGATCTCCAAATATTTCCTGCTTGTGACTTATCCCAAATACTTAATAATAGGTAAATTCACTTTATCAGATCTGTATATTGAAAAACTCATGCCCACTGGTAGTGGCGATGCTGCCCTTTAATCCCACCACTTGGAAGGCAGAGGCAGGTGGATCTCTATGAATTCAAGCCAGCCTGGTCTACAGAGCAAGCGGAATATACACAAATAAACCCTGTCTGCAAAGACCAAAACAAAAAAAAGAAAAGAAAAAGAAAAATTCATTCTGGTGGTCATGAAGTATGAATCTCTAAACATACAAATCCAATTCTGAAGGAACCCTCTAAGTTTCGTGGCCACGTCAACAAGCACACACTTTAAATCTGCATCGACAGCAGGAAGCACGCAGCTCCCACTGTGGCTGCTGTCACCACGCTTCAGATCTCAGCAGAATTCCTCTGCTTCAATTAGTGAGTTCAAAAAGCTTAGTCTGATTTGGTAGTCAATAACAGACAGAAACAAAACAACGAAATAAACAAATGTCCCATCACCACCGTGGATTAAAACCGTGTATAAGTTATCAAATCAAAACAAAATTTCTAACCAACACACAGAGCGCGAACTCAATGCTTGTGCATTCAATGCTTAAGGATGAAACACAGCGGGGGACAGGCGTATCACAGAACTTACATGTGGGAGAAGATGTAACAGAGCGTCTCCACTCAGAGTACCGACAGCCAGCGCCACCAGGAAGCTCAGCAGGAACTTGAAAAACACCCGGTTCATGAGTGGCACCAAGATGACCCCGAGCAGAGACAGGAAACTGATGATGGAAATGGCTATGAAGCCACCAAGCCAGGCTGGCAAACCAATCAGAGCAGAGGGAAATCAAGTAATTTGTAAACTGAGAGGTTTCCGACCAGGGTATTAAACAGCGGGTAAGCACAAAGCAACTGAATTCAGGGTACCTCGCTGCAGGCCCAGATGGGGGAACCTCATACACAAAGAGACTTCAAGATAGGAAGGTAAACCTAGTGGTGAAATGAATATTTTTTGACACAGGATCTCACTATGTGGTTCTGGCTGGCCTGGAACTAACTCACAGACCTGTCTCTGCCTCCAGAGTGCTGGGATTAAAAGTGTATGCTACTACAATTGGCTTTAGTGGAAAAAAAAATCTTTAGATGTTAATTAAAGGAAGAGAAAAAGTTACAAGGATGAACTCTCATTTGGGATCCAAGTGGGGCTTTCATTCCTAGAACAGCTAAGCTATGAAACAGGGGAGGGAGGCAAATTCAGAACTATTTTCCTCAGTAAACAAAACATTTGTTTCTTCCTCACTATGGTATTCTTCCTCATTCCCCTTTCCCTTCCTTAAAGACAGCCTCTTGTCTGTGTAGACCATGGTAGCTTTGAACGCACAATGCCCCTTTTTCAATGCTGGGATTACAGCTGTTAGCATACAAGGCTGTACATGCTTAAAAACGGATTTATTTTATGAATCTGTGTATGCTAGAATATATGTTTGTGTACCACATGCATTCAGGAGCCCTTGGAGGTTTGAAGAGGGTACTGGATCCCCTGAACTGGATTTACACATGGTTCTGAGCCACCAGGTGGGCATTAGGGACTGAGCCATGGCCGAGGAGCAGTCAGTGCTCCTCAAAACCACTGAGACATCTCCATCCTCATGCCTTTTTTAAAGGAGGCAAAGGCACTTTTAAAATTTATATTCAGAACATTCAGGGCACAAAACAATTAAGATGTTGTATCTAGAGCCAAAATGAAAAATTGCCTCAAATAATAAAGTTCAATATATTTACTAAAAACCGTCTAAGGACAAAGGCAGATTTACCTATTTGCAAAGAATAGGTCTTTTGAGGGATTTCCGCCTTCTTCTCACTTGCTGTATGAATCAGACAAGACCGAGCATCAATTTGATTGATGATGGCTGGGCAGAGATAGTTAAACTCCGTTGCATTCAACAGAACCTGGATGTTCATGCCATGGGATGTCAGCAGCTTTGTTGTGTTGAAGCACTGAAGGAAACAAGGTAGTCAAAAAAAATCACAGAAGACATTCCCACTAGGAGACTCCAAAATGTAGTCTGACTCACCACCCTTAAGCTCTACCAAAGCTACTTTGTTGATAAAATTAATGCCAGTTAAAATCCGCTTTGCTTTGGGCACTTTGGAATTTGCCTCTAGCCTGAAGAAGATACTATGTCACAATGATGGTATGTCATTCTACCGTGACCACATCACAAGTCACCAAGGGAGAAAACCTCTCTTGGAAGGAGCTTGGGGATAACTGGAGATTCACAAGCCTGTTAACTCATTGTATAAAGCTATTAAGGAAACGAGCTTTAATTTCGAAATGGGGTTCATTAGAGATTGAGAAATAGGTTTTGGGATTAATGCTCTCCACTTGGCCCAAACAAGCCCAAGACATGTTGCTCCTCCTGCTATGACACTACTTGCAAAAACGCAACTCAGTTCTGTCTACATGCCTGGCAAGATGATTCTCTGCAATGAGCGATTTCTAAATTATACAGATGACTCTTGCAGAGGGCAATGCTGGTTAATAAAACAAACCTGTCCCAGCAGGCAGATGCATTCAACAGTTTAATTGGATGTCAAGCTTAGTTTGAAGAAAAACTGTTCTACTGCAGGGAGGGGGGGGGGAGCTCATCTGGTTATAGTATGTTTCTCATCTTCTACAAAGATATTTTAGATTCTCACAATTCTTCACCAACAGTATTCAGAACAATTTCATTACTATTGTTGCCAGGGATAAGACCAGCCCTATGATTACTAAAGACTTCATAGTCACATACCAGCTTGAATGAAGTACCTACATTTTGGTCATTAAAGACTAATACGTATGCCTTTTTTTTTTTTTTTTTTGGCCTGATATTCATTAGCCAAAGTAAATTATTTAGTGCTGGCAAGTTTATTCTAGAAAAGCACATGATCTGGGAATTTCACCACCCGACATTCTCAGTCCAATTTAACTTCAATTACTCCATAAGTCACTGTTGGATCTTGGTGCCAAAGAGAGACACACAGGTGTCCTTGTGTTTTCAGCACCTTAACCTGACTCTTCAGATCCCACCTTGTCTGTATATGTGTGTGTGTGTGTGTGTGTGTACACACACACATATATTTAAGATTCATCCTTAAACATTCTCCACAATCAACCTTGGCATCTTTCTATAGTTATAACAAACTTTGTATCAGAGAAGTTCAGCAGACAGGACTATTCTGGACAGCTTGTCCTCAAGGATGTTTACAACAGTCTGCACACTATGGCCAAAGCCTTGTTAAGACGGAAGAAAAGTTCCTCTCTTACAACAGCTGTTTTATTTTTATTTCACTCATCCCTGGAGGGAAAAAGAAGTGCATTAAATATTGCACAGAATTTCTCTTACCTCCTGAATATTGTCATTTGTGTTTCGGGAATACATAAAGCTCTTTCTAGGCTCACTCATAGACTCATTGCTTTTCCTAGTCGCTAGCCGGCTTAGTCGGCCCACTCGGCTCTTCTCTGTGATGCTGGGTGGGGTAGATGGGCTCACATCTTTGGGCCGTTTCCCGTGTTTCAGAGTCTCTACTGTCTCCAGAAAGTGAGTTCCTTCAGAGACAGCGTTGTACACAGCTGGGGTTACTTCACTTGTGCTCACACTCTCTTTGACGTTCCTTCTACCATTCACACGCTCTGGTGAGCGGGAACCTTTCCCTTGGCTGCTTCTAGGAGTTTTACCTGAACTATCAGAATCATGATCTGGGCAAAAGGCTTTCCGATTGTTTTTACCACCAGCAGCATGGCTGCGGTGAGAATGTCGCTCATGGTCAGGGTGGTGGTCGTGGTCAGGGTGATGGTCATGGTCATGGTCAGGGTGGTGGTCGTGGTCAGGGTGATGGTCATGGTCATGGTCAGGGTGATGGTCATGGTCATGGTCAGGGTGATGGTCGTGGTCAGAGTGGTGGTCATGGTGTATGTGGACTCTTTTAATCTTATCTATGCCTATATTCTGAAGCAATTTTCTGAACCCTTCAACTGACAAGGAATCATTCTCTCCATAGCGGTAGAAAAGCTGTTGTAGATGATGTCGTTGCATGGTAACCGCCAAGTCCACATTGATGCCAGATTCCCAATTTGAATTAATTTTCTCAGTGGTCTGAGAGAAAGCAGCTGTTGATTGTAGTTCATGAAGGGGATTCATGACCCAAAGGGCAAAGGTCAGGATCATGATTACAGATAAATTCCTGGCCATTGCACCTTCCTAGAAAAGATAAGGGGGGAAATTCTTTACCACACTTCTATGCCAATTTAAGAAACTTCATGCTCAAAACTGATGCCTAATTACATTGTCAACATAGCACTATTGGTTTTGACCAGGACAGTATGCGGCACTTCTGGGATATTAGGAGCCTCATTCATGCTAAAACACCTGAAGCAAATGCAGGACAGTCACGTGCAAAGAGACAGTAATTAGACCCGCTGCAGAACAGCAGAGGAAAAGAGCCATGTGCTCGCTCACATACACTGTCAGCTTCTCACTGAGCTAAGAACTACAGCTCAAAACCAAACCTAAGCATGTCCACCACCACCACTTCATAAAGTTAGAAAGATACCCAGAAATAGGTTAAAAAAAAAAAAAAAAAGGTCAAAACTGACACTTGGAATTTTCAAAAATTGTTTCGTTTTTCTTGGACACAACACATCCATTTCCTTTATTCCCACCCTACATGATTCTACCAAGTTTTTGCTGTTGTGTGAATCACATTATTTTCTATCCACTTTCAAACAGATTAGAGCACACACACACACACACACACACACACACACACACAGGAGATCTCCACAGTTCCAGTCAGCAATGAATCAGACCCAATTTCATGTCAGTGTATCGAGATTTCCCAAGCTGTCTGAATGACTGCATAATAGTTCTTTGGGCGAAGTAAACTAAGCTTCATGAAAACGCACCACATTGTTCTTCAGTTGCTACACACTAGCTAGAGAACGTTTTATCTCATAACGTTTGGATTCAAGGCCTGTGCCTGAAGAGGAGTTTTCACTCCTTTCCAAGTGAAGCTTGAAAAGCAGAATTCAGTCACACAGCACAGTACATTCAGATCTTTGGATGGATGCTAAACCCATGTCGCTAGCAAAAGACACTGAGGGATTTGGAACTACATAGGATCATAGGGCAACAGACTACCATTTTCCAAGCTGTTTCTTGGCAGGTTCTCACATTCATGACCTCATCTGAAAAGCCGGTAATACTCATTTGCAAGGGCGAAACTCAGTGGAAGTGCTCCTTAAATTCCCCTGTTGCCCAAGTGCTGATTATCATACTAGGCACTCAGGTAAATGGAGGTAAAGACAACCAGATAGGACCAGACTCCTGCAAACAATCTCAGGGCCTCACGTTTTGAGAATTCACGTGATAGACACAAAAGGCTCAGGAAGAAATCATTCCCGGGAGGGGGGGGGAGGAGGCGAGTCACCAGATGGGTGGGGCAGATATCGCCTTGAGGCAAAGGAAGATGCTGAGGGTCAGATCTCCTTATAGGCCAAGTCTGCGGGTATATTAGAATCAAACCACAAGAGGCCTTGAAAAAAAGAGGCAGTGGAGAAAACGGAAAAGCGCACAAAGCTTGCTTTTGAGGGCTCCTGTAAGGAAACACGTTAGTAGCTTCTTTGAATGCGGGTGAAAAGTTAAGCCATCGCAGAAAGTCCCAAGTTTTAGGTTTCCAATCCCACATGGGGACTCTATATTGGGAGGGGCGAGTGGGGCTCGAGGCGGGGCCCTCGCAGCATCCCTTCTCCGTTGCCCTGTTTGGCTCCAGTATCCCTTCTCCGTGGATCCGGGCCTGCGGGGCTCCTTTCTGCCGCCCGGCTGCAGTCGTGCGGAACTCACCTCTCCCGGTGTCCCGCCGCCGGGACCCGCGCGCTGGTTCCCCGAGGGCGGTTCGAGGGGGCTGGGAACTAGCCCGGCTCCTGTTTCCGAGAAGCCTTTACAGGGCGCCGAGCAGCGGCGGAATCATGAGCTCGGCCACCCCTCGGCCCCAGGTTGCCGCGCCTCCTCCAAGCAGGACAATCGGTAATTACCGCCGCCTCCCGCGGCTAGTACCGTGGCGCACGCGCAGTGCAGCTCCGGAGCCCCGTCTGCAAAGACCGATCCGCTTTTCCGCGTGTTCTCGGACGCCACGGGCTCGCCGCGATGGAGGGCGGGCGCGGGTCCTTTCCTCGCGCCCTTCTGCTCCACCGCCAAGACCGCGGCCCAGCCGGGACCGCTGTGGGCAGCCGGGGCGGATGGAGCCGCCCCTGACCACGAGCTCCTTCGAGAACGCCCCGCGTCCAGCGCCCGGGCCTGGTTTGCGCGCGGAGAAGCGGTCGGAGAGATGCGCGTGGCTGGCAGAGGCTACGGGGGAAAACCACGCCAGCAGACGGGGGCGTGGCCGGGAGGCGTGGCCTATGGTCTGGGATGCTTTAGCCCCGCCCCGGCCCCTCGGAAATGCGGACCGGCTGGCGTCTGCGGGAGAAGACGCGGCTAGCTAGAGTAGTTCCGCTCTGGGGCGGAAGTGAGCGGGAGTGTCTCGGCCACTGACCATCTGGCATCATGGTGGCGCCTGTGCTGGAGGTGTCTCACGTGTTTTGCTGCCCGAACCGGGTTCGAGGAGCTTTGAGTTGGAATTGCGGGTCTGGAGGACTTCTGGCCTTCGGCACGTCCTGCTCCGTGGTTCTCTATGACCCTCAGGTACGAGGGATTAGGCGCGCGCTTTGGGCCCGGCTTGCAGGCCGAGTCCAGTATACTCGAGGGGTGTAGGAGATCCTCCCGAGGGGCCCGGGCTCTGCCCTCTCCTGTGTCGCGCTGCCTCTACCGAGGGTGATCGTGGCCTGTGATCCCCGAACTGAAACCCCGAGGTGATATCTTTCTCAGCACCCTTAAAAGGATTGAAATTTAGGCGAGGGTTAAAGCCACGCATGGCATCTGAATTCTTTTGTTTCCTCGCTGTGTAGTTAACGAACTTACACTGAATTTCAATTAATGTTATGGAGATTTTAGGTACGTGAATGCAGCTTTTTAAGAATGGGAAAAATAGAGGGTGGGAGTCCTAAGCCCTAGTTTTAAAGTAGGACTTAAGTCATTTCTTGAACATCAGCCAGCTGGTTATTTTCTGGCAGTTTTCCTGTTCAACTTCTCGGGTGAGTAATTAATGCATACTTACGGGAGTTGTGAGCCCTCTCCCCTGTTTACTTTAGGATGATACTGTTAGTGTTGCATTGTCCTGCGGCAGAGTTGAAACGCAGAAAGTGCAGAGCAGATGCTTATCTGTTTCTCACAGTGCTTCATTGTTAACGTTTTGATTTGAAATCCCATTTCCCTCAACGTTTGCAGATACAAAATTCTATATGAAACACATTTCAATGACTTCCTCTTACCTCTAGCAGGCTCTTATTCTGGTCTTTATTTCTTATCAGTTGCCATGTATATTCTTGCGTAATCAAACCAAAGGTGAATTTTACATTGACCATCAAGCCAATGGCTAACTAAGCCAGTAGAAGCCCATCTTTGTGCAAGTCAGTGGATTTGTCCCATACCTTCCATTACTTTGTTGTTGTCGTTTTACCTTGTATCCAGGGCTGGCTTGCCTTTGAACCCATTTAGTTGAGGTTGCCTTCGAGCTTACCATTCTTTTGTTGAGACTACAGGTCTGAGCCACCATGCCATCTCTGTCACATTTTGTAATGATAACCTGATAGTCATGTGACAGGAGTTTAACATATCATATATTGATCCCCAAAAGTACTTTTTCAAGTATTTTCTGGTTGGGAACTTAAAGAATAGGAACACTTGAAATGTGGGGCTGGAGAGATGGCTCCTAGTGGGTAAAGTGCTTGCTAAACATGAGGGCCAGAATTAAGATTCCCCCGCATCCATGTAAGAACCAGGCATGTCTGTGTGCATTTAACTCCAGAGCTCACTGGCCACCTAGTCTAGCCAAAATATTAATGTCAGGTTCAGAAAAAAAGGCAGAGAACTGATTGAGAAAGACATTCTGATGTTAGCCTATGGCCTACACACACACACACACACACACACACACACACACACACACACACACACAGAGAGAGAGAGAGAGCACTACAATACAGTTTTGAGGATGATATTTATTGGCAATTTTTGAGATCCCATCTAGGTTTGCTGTAGGCCTTGGGATGATGCAAAGAAAATGAGTAATTCTCAGTCTAGTGGGAGAGACAAGGAAATGCATTTAAGTGCTTTCCATTTGTTAAATATATTTGTTTATATGCATTGCCTGTTCCTTTTTCCCAGCCATGAGAAATTCTGTCATACAAGCAGGCATTAGGTCAGTGCTATTGATAACAAGCATGGAAAATGATGTAATGAGAGGTGCTGTGAGCAGATCTTTAGCTGTGTGTGAAGTCAGGCCACCCAAGGGTGGCGGAGGAGCTGTGAAACTTGCAAGGATCTGATTTAGAAGGCCTGTCACTGAGGCTAAAGAACCCACCCCTTGTCTAACCATGGATTTATATACATTAACTGCATTTTTTTTTTTTTTTTTAACCTTCAACATGGGCTGGAGAGATGGTTCAGTTGTTAGGAGCACTGGCTGTTCTTCCAAAGGACCCAGGTTCATTTCCCAGTACCTACTTGGCAGCTCACAACTGTCTCTAACTCCATAGGGGATCTAACACCCTAACCCAGACATGCAGGCAAGACACCAATGCACATGAAAAAATAAATTTAAACCCTCTACTTAGTGTGACATGGTAGTATTTTGCTGAGGACTATAGCTCACAAAGGAACTTCTTGTTTATCCTGGAGAGTCAAGACAGGCTTGCTGACATAGGGATTGGGTGAGCAGAACTATGTAGACGAAGACCCAGGGAGCTAAGATAGTCAATTATTAATAGGATGGTGGGAATATGTGTGAAAAGGTGGGAAATTGCTCTAGTGAATTGGTAACTCAAGCCACAGTTAGAGATTTATGACTTGAAAGGCAACTCTCTTGATGGAATTCTGTCTTTTTACTGCATCAAAATACTGCTGATTTTTACTTAAATATTTATCAGTCACTATGCGGGCTTCACTCTAATGTACTAATTGATTTTTCTTTTTTTCCTCTAAAGAAAAAGGCAGTTATTAACAATCTGAATGGTCACACTGCTCGAGTCAATTGCCTGCAGTGGATACGTAGACTGGATTACAGTAAGTAGTAAGACAAGAAGGCTGATCTCAAATGCTTTTTGATAAAGTATGGTTAGTAATTTTTTGTTTTTATCATTTCCTTGACTGATGTTGTAAGTTTGGGGGAAAAATGAGAACTGGTCTACCCAGTGAGGTAGCTGACTAGTAATTTTACTTGATAGCAGTTGAAGTGTGGTACATTCTGAGCCCATAGCCTTTGATTGGAAATTCTGTGAGTAGGGCATAGATGGAGGCTGACATCCAGCTGACTCAGTCTGTTTCTGGCATAGATAGATGGTTGTTTTAGTTAAGACCTTGTATGTCTGTTGCACTTGATAGTATGGTCTGGAAAGTAAGGGGCTGTACTGGATCAGAGGACTTTTGAAGTCCCAAGATGGGTGAGGTCCACGCTGTTTTCATAATTCAAAGACATGTATCCATTCACAGGCTGTCAAGAACATGCTGTTTGGTTTTTCTATCAGCCACATGATGTAACATGATACTGTAACAGACTATTAAATAGAGAACCAAATATGAAACTTCAGCTGTTTTATTAATATAGTCAGACATCAAAGAACCTTGCAGACATATAGAATTTGTGCTTCTGTTCTTTTTGATTTCTCATGGTTCTAACATTAGAGTCCTTCAGCTCCCATGGAAATTTGTATTAACATATTTTGTGCATCATTATAATTAAATTACTATATCCAGTATGTGATGGTGGGTGCATACCACAGTGCACAGGTAGAGTTGATTCTCTTCACCCACCTTTGTGTGGATTTGGGGATCAAACTCAGATCTCTAGGTTTGTATAGAAGGTTCCTAAGATGTGAGCTACCATGTAGTTGCTGGGAATCAAACTCAGGGCCTCTGGAAAAGTAGCCAGTGCTCTAAACCATGAGCCATCTCTCCAGCCCTGCTGCCTAAGGTGTATTTTTTTTTAATTTACTATTTATTTTGTGGCTAGGTCTCATTTTGTCCTGGATGGCCTAGAACTCACTATGTAGACCTACTGGCCTCAAAGCCACAAAGGTGCCCTTGTCTCTTCCTCCAGAGTGCTGGGGCTAAAGGCATGTGTTTCCATGCCCAACATCATTGTAGTTTTTAAGGGGACTATTAAAAAAAAAATCTTTTTAGTTTTAACTTCTAATACTGATATACATAGCCCACACTAAAAACTTTTTAAGGGTTGTTAAAATTCTTAAAGAGTGTGAAGTAGAACAAGAATTTTCAAAATTGCTGGAATGCAGTGGATTATTTTTCTTCATTGTAAGATTCTCTGACTCCTGAATTTTTAATTACTGTAAACTCTCAGTCCAGTGGAAGTCTCTGTTGTTCTTCTGTCCTACTGTGCTGTTATCTTGCTTTCTGAGTTAAGTTTCTTTTCATTCTACGTTATGATGCAGGTGCAAGTGCAGAATTTTCTTGAGCTGGTGAGACTGTTTTCTGTGGTTTTATCTGATATTAGAAAAAGCTTAATACACCATTTATCTCAAATGGTGAGTCAGAGTAAGGTGTGCATCAGGCTAGTAGCAGCCATTATATAATGCAAAGGATGGCTCTTAATGTTGTGCAAAAATACAGTTGACATTAAAGACTACTGGCATCACACCACAGGACTTTGTTGTGAAGTATTAATTTTACTTCATTTAAAAGTGAGGTAACATAAAATGAATTCCATTATGTAACCTGTGACCCTCTACTAAGGTCTGTCACTGGATAATTTAGATTTCCTAAGACGTTGATAAGAAAATAGGGGAAGAAATGACATGAATACAAATATTTACCGCAACACAACTTTTCCAGCCCCTTCCTCGGAATTGGTGTCTGGAGGATCTGACAATCGGTTGATTTACTGGGAAATAGAGAATAACCAGGTCAGTAGCTGTTCCTAATTCTAAGAAATGTTTTAGCTCTCATTTCTTGTTTTTTGATTTATGAAGTGCCCTCATTTTTTTTCTCATCAATGAACTTACTTTTATTTGCTTGTCTATAACTCATATACTTTGTTGTTTTTTAAAATCTGAAGACAAAATCCTAGCACTGAGAAGGAGAGTTGGACACAAAGTCTCCAAACCAGGTGGCTGTTTGCAATTGATACCTGCTACAATTGGTGTCTGAATTTATCAAACATACTGCAGGCCAAGCCTGTGTCCAATACAAAACTGATTCTATGTTTTTGTTTTGCTGATTTGTTTTTTTCATTTTGGTATTTGTTTGCATTTCTGTTTTGGTTTTCAATTTCTTTTTTTTTTTTTTTTTTTTTTTTTTTTTTTGTTTGGAGCAAGAATGAGAGCATGAAGTTGGATGGGTAGGGAGGTGGGGAGAATCTGGAGGAGTTGGATGGGGGAACATGATTAAATATATGAAATAAAGAAGAATCTGTGGGCATTATTGAATTGTTATGCAGGAAAATAAAAGGTCTCATACTCATATTGAATATTTCAAGTAAATTGGATCATAAATATACTATAAAATAAATATACTATAAAATAAACTGCCAAAAGAACATTAGGGGGGAAACCTGAAGCCCAAATATTTTATCTTTTTTTTAAGTATACAGCTCTCTTAGCTATTGTTCTATTGCTGTGAAGAAGCATCATGAGCACAGCAACTCTTACAAAGGAAAACATTCAACTGGGGCTTCTTACAGTTCAGAGGGTTAGTTTATTATTGTCATAACAGGGAGTATGGTGGCATACAGGGTGGCATGGGGCTGGAGAAGGAGCTGAGAGTTCTGTGTCCTCAGGCAATAGGAAGAAACACTGGGCTTGGTTTGAGCATTTGAAACCCCAAAGCCCACCATCAGTGATACTTCCTCTAACAAGGGCACACCCTTTAATCCTTGTCAAGTAGTGCCGTTCCCTAATGATCAAGCATTCAAATATATGCGCCTGTGGGTCCCATTCCTAGACAAACCATCACAGTAGCAAAGATACTTTATTTACTTTTAATTAAAAAAAAAAATATGTCAGGGACATAGGCTTGGGAGATGCAGTGGATAAAAGTATTGATGTGCAGGCGGGAGGACCTGAGTTCCAGTCTCCAGAACCCACATAGTGACAGGGCATGGTAGCATTCCCCTGGAGTCCCAGAGTCTCTACTGTGGAGGGAAGATGGAGACAAGTGCCCAGAAGCTCTGGGACAGCTAGCCTGGGATACATCATTGTGAACAACTAAGAGAGACCAAGGCTCAAATCAGGTGGAAGATGAGGACAGACACCCATGTTTGTCCTTCAGCCCCACATGCATACCATACATTTGCATAAACATACACATTTTCTGAGACAAAGTGTCACTGTATGTCCTAATGTGGCTTAAAGGCATGGTCCCCTGGAGGGCTGGCATTGCAGGTGTGTGCCACCACACCCAGCTGAGATTGTTATCTTCTGCGTGTCAGGGTCCCTGAACCCTTCCTCTAATTTCTGCTTCCGTATTCGTGTGCTGTCACTTGTCCCTGTGAATCCTCATCCATGCTGAGCTGTTCTGTTCTCCTCGGTAATGGCAGACATTTTGGTGCATTAAGGGCAGCTGCTGCCAGGTGAATATAGATCTCAAGTTGTAAGCGATGTTCCACACTGTGTGTGATGTACATGGGCCCCTTTAATGGACAGATGGGTTGTTCCTAGTTTTAGACAAAGATTAATAAAAGTGAAGCAAGTTGTTGTGTTGGTTTTGTACATTACCTCAAAGAAGTAAAGAAGGCCGAGCCCTCTTGTTCATGAGTCAAGGACATTATCTTGAAGGTATAGTAGACTTGAATAATGAAATCTCCCAAGTGTGAACTTGCTATACCTCCACTGCAAACAGAAGGCATTTGAATTGGATTGCCTTTGAGTGGAGGGTGATTGTCTTGGGAAAAGTTTAAAGAGTGAGGATTCCAAGTAAGAAAAACATTAGATAAATGAACCCGCCTTTCCCCAAATCTCTTAGTATGCCTTTGGACTTGGTGGAGACAGTTTGGGAAATGTTACTGGATAGTACATGTGTGCAGAAATCATATCTGAGTGCTAGCATTGGGAGTTTGTTCTTAGGCTGGTCATATGGTGCAGGCCTCTGTTGTCAGCACTTAACAGGCTGTGGCAGGAGAAGTGTGAGTTTTCAAGGTCATTATTAGCCCATACAGCAAAACTCTGTCTCACAGGTTTTGTTGTTGTGGTTGGACTGGTGGCAGAGCACTTGCCTAGTATATATGTGGCTGGATTCAAACCTTAGCTCTAGGGGGAGGGTTCTTATTCATCAGGCATTTGGAAGTCAGTCATGGTTGCTAAGGAAAGGAGTAAGTCAAGAGTACTGTGACAGCACTACTGAGCATAGGAAAAACAGGAGGAAAAGGAGAGATGGTGTAAAAAACACTTTGGCACTGACAGGTTAGTTACAGAAGAAATTGGGGATATGATGGACAGGGAAAATTGGGCTCTTTCTTAGGGTTCTTGGAGAAAAGTGCAGAGAAAAATGGGCAAATAGGAAGATAGGGAATTAGGCGCAGTCATGACATGTGACCTGCTGACTATATGACCAGCCTTACTATTCATGCCTCCAATGCTGCAGGAATTAGAAGGCTGAGTGGAGATGGGATTCTGGAGCCACCTATACTTGAATGAAAGCAGAAGGCCACCTGCACTGGACTCAGTCTTAGCAGAAGAATCCAGGGAGGCAAAGTGAGCTTTTACTTTTGAGACCTGAAGTGAGAGACTTTCTAGACTTTTCCTCAGTGCTTCCCTAACTCCTGGTGGCAGAACAGTCAACTGAGGGGAGAATGAGGCCAGACTGAGGTGGGGGCGAGGGTTTGAAAGGCATGAAGGAAGGATGAAAGGACTTGGGATATGGGGAAAGGCTGAGCATCTCGGGGATTGGGTACCCATTGATGTATTTCTGTGCTTAGTGTATCTGGACTGCTGATTAAAGAAAGTGTCTGGTGTAACTGAGGGTGACCTTGAACTATTGATCCTCCTCCACCTCTCAAGTGCTGGGATTACAAATGTTCAGCCACCATGCTCTGTCTATAGCCTCCTTACCTCTCTTTTTTTTGAGACAGTCTTGTTTGACAGTCCAGGCTGTTCTCAGACTCACGGTGGTCCTCTGGATCAGTCTCCTGAGTTCTGGGATTACAGACATGAGCCACCATGCCCAGCTATGTAATTCCTTTGTTCTCATAACATGTGCAACAATCTTCCGATTCAGGTTTTAAAAGCAGTCCGTCTTCAAGGCCACGAAGGACCTGTTTATGCTGTGCATGCTATTTACCAGAGTGACCCATCTGATGGTGTGCTGCGTACTCTGATAGCTTCTGCAGCTTCAGATTCTACAGTTCGCATATGGTCTAAAAAGGGACCAGAAGGTAAGTTTGGAGGCTTTGTAACCTAGGAAAATGAAATAGAAATTGTGAGTAACAGCTACAAGAACACACATAAGTTCCAATGTTTTAAGCAACTTCAAAGTGTTATCCTAATATGAATGTGTTTCTTTTGTGTTTTGTCTAAATACTCCTTAACCAAAGTATTTGTTTAAATAAATTCCAGCTAAGCCTTTTCTCCCTGATCTCGTTGAAATTCAACAATTTAATTTCTCAAAGTTAGTGAAGTTTGGGGTTGACATCTCCATGTTTCTCCTGACACTCTAGACTAGCAATGCCGCCCTGGCTTCTTTAGGTAGATAAGATCAAGGATAATTGTTCATGATAAGCTTTTGTTTTTTAGTAAAATACCTTGAGACCTTGAACTTTGGGGATGGATGTGTCCTGACTGTCTGCCTGTCTGTTTTGCCTGAGACTAATGGTGAGTGTACTCCCATTTATTAAAAGAACAGCATAAGAAATGTTTGGGAACTGTGTGGTGGTGGTGCATGCCCTTAATCCCAGCACTTGGGAGGTAGAGGCAGTCTGAACTCTGTGAGTTCAAGGCCAGCCTGTTCTACAAAGTGACTTCCAGGACAAACAGGGAGTTAGGTTGCAGCTGATGCTGGGCTCAGGCTCTTCAGTGTCCAGCTAGGCTAACAGTTTCCCTTTGGTCCTCTGGCTGGTGTTGTAGAAATACACTTTACTTGTTCTTACTTGAAACTTACTTTGGTTAGAGGACAACTTTCGGGAGTCTTTCTGTCTGTCTGCCCTGTTTCTAAGGCAAGGGCTCTACTTTTCTACCCACTCCATGTATTGTAGGATGGGTGGCCTGCAACTGTCTGCCAGTTCTTGTGCCTGACTCTCATCTTGCCAAAGGAGTGCTGGGATTATGGATGCCCTGGCACATCTGGCTTTTGTATGTGGGACCCAGGGATTGAACTCAGGTTTCAGGCTTATATGGCAAGTGCTTAGTGGTGTACCTTCTCCCCAGGCCCTACTTGTTCTTCACTGTCACCCCCTTTCATGGTGCACAGAATGAACGCACTGCTTGTCTCAGTTTTACCATAAGCACTGACTAGAGCCGTGTAGTGTCCATTTCTCCCTGGAGACAGTTTGGACCCTTGCAGTTAATTTGTGCTATGGTGTGGGGAGCAGAAGTCGGTTTCTTCGCCTAGTGATTCTACCTGCAGTACTTATAGCCATGCCTGTTTTCCTTCCCAGTACCAATATTAGCGTGCGGTGATGATGACTGCCAAATTCACTTATTTGTTCAACAAGATGACCAGGTAACTAATGGTTTTTATTGAGAGACTAGAATTATATTTGCCTAACAGTGTATCTTAACATAGAAACTTAACATAGTTGCAAAAGTCCAGCTGTTTTCTGTGCTGTATTCACAGCATGTGCTGTTTTATCTTGTGAACCTTTATAAACTGCTTGAGATTTGAAGATAGTGACCAGCCCAACTAGTCACTGAGGTGTCATGTATTTTACTGACCGTTATCTTCGTAGTTTCAGAAAGTACTTTATCTCTGTGGACACGAGGACTGGATAAGAGGAGTGGAATGGGCAACCTTTGGTCAGTATGGAATTTTACTAGGCGTGTGCATGATGGGGACAAGTTTAAGTTTCCTTTGAATGTTATATTGTCTACTGTCCAGTTAGAAAAGGAACGTAAAAAGTTTTTAAAAAGGAACACACATACTATGGCATTCATCTGCAGATTAGAAGACAGCATTGGGGAGCGGGAGCAGGTTTCCCTTTAATTATGTGTGTCCCAAGATCCCTTACTGAGACTCGGCGGCAGGAACATTGCCCAATAGAGCCATCCCCAGAAAAGGGGATTCTTAACTCTTGTTAACTGTTGATTCAGTATAAAGAATGAAATAAATTAATATTTGCAAGATAACAATATTTGTCTTATTTATATGTATATGTTCTTGAAGAATTCTTCCTAGAAATTAATGACTTACCCAAAGAGAACCACTTGTTTTCTGTGTATATCTGCCAGTGCCATTAAAAAGGAATTCCAGTCAAATAAATGAAAGATAAGGAAGCAAAGTCTAATTAATATATTTGAATCTAGAAATATACACAGCAGAGATGAAAAAGTTTTGTGCCTAAATTTACTGCATATATTGTTTTTAAAAGTAATTAATATATATCTAAATATATATTATTAATTAATATATATCTAAATATAATATATATCTAAATATCTGAATATCTAATTATATATCTAAATATATAATTAATATATATCTAAATAGGTCGAGACCTCTTTCTAGCAAGCTGTTCACAGGATTGCCTTATAAGAATATGGAGACTGTGTGTGAACCCAACATCTTCAGAAGCGGAGGATGATAGTCTAAAACTGAAGGAAAATACTTTCACTTTCCAAGATGAAGGTGGGTTCAGTGAAGTGTTTGATGTCACAGTGCGTAGTTCTGATAGCTGTTCCATTTGTCTGTGTCTGTACACATCTGTGGAAGTTTAATTTTTTGTTTTTATGTGAAATCTGTTGTTTTTCATGTTTGAAACACTTTTACAAACTGTATGTCAGGTCTTTTTAATTGCTGAAAGCTGTGCTTACTGTTTATCAGTGAATTAATTTGTGAAATATTGCAAGCATAGCATAGGAAGACCTAAGGAATAGTGTAAATTCTGGTCCTGTTGGAGCATATTCAGAAGTGACAAACTAAATTCTTTCTCTGCATTTGAGTGGCGTATGTGATTCATTCTTAAAGTGTTGTAACAGACTGGCTCCCACACTCACAGATCCTATTGGGATGTTGTATGATGGAGATGTATTTGGTATTGTTCTAAATACCAAAGTCATTCTTCATTAGTCCTCACTCACTAGGTGTACTGTTCTTGGTTAGTCTTAGTTGTAAGGCCTATCAGAGTTGTGGCTTTGGTAACAATTTTATGGAGGAAACTAAGAAATGATATAGCTGACATACTATAAATAGCTATGTCAAAATATGAAAATTTTCATTTATTTGTTTTTAAGGTCTGAAATACGAATTTAGTTTCCCTTATTCATTATGTTAATTTTTTTAAAAAATTAATTATTATTGCTGGTTGGAGATGGTGCATTCCTTTAATTCCAGCACAGAGACACATGGATCTCTGTGAGTTCCAGGCTAGCCTGGTCTATAGAGCGAGTAGCAAGACAGCCTCCAAGGCTACAGAGAAACAAAACAAAACAAAAAAGACAGAAAATGGATAATTATCAAGTAGGGAAACAAGACAAGGAGGCTGTCTTACCTGTTTTTGCTATTTGTTTGTTTGTTTAAGACAGAGTCTCATGTATTCCAGGCTGACCTCCTCAACTTCTCCTTGTACCTTCTGCGTGCTGTTGTGTTAGAGGGCTGCACCACACTTTCCTGTTAATGTCAAACTGGGTGTTCCAGGCATACTCACTCTTTCAACTGAGTTATATCCCCAGCTCTTGTTTGTGCTTTAATACTACCTTTTTTTTTTTTTTTAATGTATTTCTGGTTGTGCTGGAAATTAAACCAAGCTTGCACATATGGCTGAGCTATACTCTCAGCCCTAGTTTTGAGCTAATACATAAGAATTGTTTGTGTGATGTTTCAAAATGTAAATGATGTGTGATTTTGCTTTTTAATTGCTTTTTCAGGAATATTTCAAATAGTAAAATATATTCTTTAATATTTGTTTACGCCCAGAATGAGAAAAATTTAAGAAAAGTTTATTTTTAGCTCTTTTTCTCCATTGGGGGAAGTTAGTGGAATTTAGAATTCTTGTTCTTTGTTGAATCTGGATTATGTTTTGTCCTAATTTTTTGACATAATTTCACAGCAGACTTAATTTTACAAATGTTCTTTTTAGAGGAGCTATGAGGAAAAAGTATCTGTGTTGCTTCTGTTGTAGGGATTAGCATAACTGCTGCAGTAACCCTGGAGACCCTGCTGGCTGGACACGAAAATTGGGTAAACGCAATTCATTGGCAGCCTCCATTTTACAAAGGTATGAACAAAACAAACAGGTCTTGCTTCGTTAAATGTAACAGTGTTTTAAGTTGACCAGCTGACTGGAGGATTGTTTAGTGTTACTAAAGTCTGTAAATATAAGGCAATTTTTAGTTAGCCTGTGTAGAGCCATGCTGAGAGCAGCTCTACTGAAAGTTATATTGGGGCAGGCTGACTGATGCTGTCAGGTGCTGACGCTGTCATGCCCTGTTAACTGTTTCTTTAAGGTTCCTGTGTGAGTCAGCTAAGAAAAATTGACTCAGGCCAACATTACTGGAACGTTTACTCTTGAAAGAAAGGGAGTGGTGATACTAGGAGGGAGTATTCATGAGGAACAATACCTTTCCCTTCTTTATTTTACCCTTAACCTCTCTCTATGGAGGGACAGGGCTACCCTCAGGTTGGTGCTAGTATAAGGCTGAGCAAGGCATAACCCATTTCTTGCCCCTAGTAATAGCAATCATTAATGCTCAGGTGATCACTGCCCAGCTCTTAGATTGTACATATTTGCCACAGTGTCTTCATCGTCATTTTATCCTTTGTAGCCTTACCTACCCTGTGCTCTATTGCCATTAACAGATGAACTATCTGTGTGATTTATTTTTTCTTTTCTAGCAACTCAAGTTTAGTTTGAAGCTGAAAAACAAAAATCTTGTTGAGTGTGATGGTGCATGCATATAATTCCACCACTAGAGAAGCTGAGGAAGGAGGATCTTGAGTTTGTAGCCGGGCTGAACTATATAGTAAAACCTCATTCCAAATGAGAAAGAGCTGAGCATGGTAGCATATAGCTGAAATTCCATCAGTCAGGAGGCTCAGACAGGAGGATTACAAGATCAAGGCTAGTCCATCTTGAGTAATGAGACCTTTTTTCAAACAGATACATGTACATACACAAATAAAAAGGAAGAAAGGCTGTACGCTCGTTTTTGCTAATTTAAAGCTATGTTTCCACCAGTAAAAATAAGAGAAAGAGGGCCTGGAGAGATCAATCTGGCACCCTCTTTAGATTTTGAGGGCGCCTGCACTTATACATGTAGGCACATAATTAAAGGTCATAAGTAAGTAAATAATAAGAGGAAGATGTTGGCTTAGCACTTAGACCAAGACCCATTGAAAGATACTGAAAGTCAAAGTGGAATCACTAATTTCACATTCCCGAGCTCAAATTAAGCTCTTTATTCGGCCTTCAAAGGAGGAGGTGGGGAGTCAGTATCAGGCTGGAGAGACAGATCAGTGGTTATCCTCACTGCCCTTGCAGAAGACCCATATCAGGCAGTTCATAAAGACTTGTACTTCCAGGGAAGCTAATGCTCTTTTAATGGCCTCTGCATGCACAGCATAAATGTGCCCATATAGAGGAGCAGATGCATGCATACAGTCATCTATAAATAGTTAAAATGTCCAGAAAGGGCCTGGAGAGGTGACTTTTGCAGAGGACCCAGTCAGTCTCCAGCACCCATGTCAGGTAGCTCACAATAACTCCAAACTCCAGGGGGATCAGACACCGCTGTTCGTACCCACACAGAGAAGCACATACTGACATGTAAAACAAAAATCTTTTAAAAATGTATTTAAAGCCAGGTGATGGTGATGCACACCTTTAGTCCCAGCACTTGGGAGACAAACGCAGGTGGATCTCTGTGAGTTCGAGGCCAGCCTGATCTACAGAGTGAGTTCCAGGACAGGCTTCAAATCTACACAGAGAAAACTCTGTCTTGATTAAAAAAAGAAAAAAATTATTTAAAAGAATATATTATTTTAAATTTTTGTATTAGAGAGACAACCTCTAGCTTTTCTGTAGTTTAGGAAAATTTGAAGCTTTCCTCTTTTATTTTTTTTTTTGTGGAGACACAGGGCTAAATTCGATGCCTATCAGTCCTAGCCATGTTATTGAACCTGAATTTCATGTTTATGTAGTCATGGACAGCATTGTTGTCATTGACAAAACTTGGTACTAGTATGTACTTACCCTTTTGCATCATACATGTACATGTTTAGAGAGATAGCTATGTTGTTTCGTGTAGCTCTGGCCTACTTATTACTCTGAAATATTCCATTGCCCAACTATATCACAACTTGTTTGTACTATGGGCAGATCTTATGGCTGTTCGTTTATGTTTTTGGAAACTGGATCTCACAGTGCAGCCCAAGCTGGCCTTGAGCTTAGAGCAGTTGTGCTGCCTCAGCTTCCTAAGTGGTGGAGTTCTAGGTGTGGGCCATAATGGCTGGTTTTGGACAACTTTGCTGTTGCAATCATTTTACATCCCCTTCTGTTTTGTTCTGGAAGTCTCAAATTCTGCATGTTGATGATTTAAAGACACCAGTTTTTACTCTTCAGATGGCGTTCTGCAGCAGCAAGTGAGATTGCTGTCTGTCTCCATGGACAAAACCATGATTCTGTGGGCTCCAGATGAAGAGTCCGGGGTTTGGTTAGAGCAGGTAAGAGGTGGATATTTAAGAAATACAAAATGTGGCTTTTTAAAGTCAGTATATACACCCCAAATCTACATTCCTAGAGCTGTAAAGTTTCACTCTTTGGATATATTAAATGATCTGTACCTTAGTCTCTGGACTCCTTTTCCAGTGTGAGAAATGGACCTGTTGATTGGTATCTGTTTTTCTGTTCTTGTGTAGGTCCGAGTAGGTGAAGTAGGTGGAAACACCCTGGGCTTTTACGACTGCCAGTTTGGAGAGAATGGCACCATGATCATCGCTCACGCATTCCACGGAGCGCTGCACCTTTGGAAGCAGAGTAAAATAAACCGAGTACGAACACGTGGGCTCCTTGCTGTGCTTTCCTAGTAGACACATTTAAGCTGAGATGACATTCATTTCTAAAGATAGATTGTGATATTTATACTAGGTTAGAAGTTTGGGCTTTTCTAGGAAGGAAAGTGCATTACTCATGTGGGCCTGGAATGTGGCTCAGTGACATTGGCCTAGTTTTTGTGAGGTCCTGGGTTATCTGCACCCTCCCACCATGTGTACAGATGAAAGTCTGAGTCTGGATGCTAGATTAGGGATTTTTAAATTTAATAAATAAGATTATTGGGTGAAATGAGACCTATATTTTGAATGTGTATCTGATATCTCCCTTTTAAAAATATATTTTACACATTTTTATTTTGTGTGTGAGTGTTGGTGTGCAGGTGAAAAGGTTAGAAGACAACCTGCAGGACCCAGCTCTCTTCTTATACTATGTGGGTCCCAGGGATAAAGCTTAGGTCATTAGGCTTTGTGGCTAAAGCCTCTATCTACTGAGCTATCTCACAAGTCCAGTAGCTTCCTTTATAATGTACGAATTCATGGATTTGCATCACTTTTAGTTTGTGGCCTTTGAAATAATCATCTCTGAGATTTTAACTTGTTTTATTGGAGACTTAGTTTTCCAGCCTCCATTGGACTTAGCCTTAAGGATTATTTCTACAGTTAAAGCAACCAATAAATCTATGACATTGTTAGTTTAGGAACTGTTTTTTAAGGTAAACTCTTTCCTCTTTGAGAGTCTTTGCAGAAGAAAAGCACAAGATGAGAGAGGAGATACCCAAATCTGAAAGCAGTTTCACTGTACTTATGCATGGGACTTGCTACATGTGTGTCGGGGTAGGGAGGGGGTGGGGGTGTTGATTTTTAAGTAGACTGTTCTATTTTTAGGACAGTGTTAAATTGACAGCAAATTTGAGCATAGAGCAGATTGCCTGTATACTTCAAACTCTTGTGTTCATGTGGCCTCCCTATCAGAGCAGTTCATTTATTTATGATTAAGATGAATTATTTAAAGATTTAATTGTTTGAACTGTAACTCTAGGTACTTGTAAGCTGACTGATAAGCATATTGGGGATTGAACTTGGGTGGTCTGGAAGAGCAGTGCACACTCCTAACTACTGAGCCACCTTCTAACCCTTCAAGATGGATTTTTATTTATTTTTCAGAGATTTATTTTGTGTACATATATGTTTATGTGAATGTACGCTTAGCTGTATGTGCAAGTGTTCACACTGCCTGTGAACACAAGCCAGGACAGTGTCAGATCTTTGAGAGCTGGAGTTAGGCATTTGCAGGATCCATGGCTTGCTTCATAGGTGCTGAAATCTGAACTCTAGTCTTCATGATTGCTCAGCAAGCACTCTTAAACACTGAGCCACCTCTCAAGCCCAGGGCTAATTTTTTTTTTTTTTTTTTAATGAGCAAATAGGGAGTTATTACAGGAAACTGTACTGGTAATCCTGAAGTGCTGTCTATGGCCCACAGCTTGTTGTAAACACCATTAGAGCTTAATTTTAGAACCTATATAACTTAGTTTAATATAGAGCCAGTATGTTAGTTCATGCCTGTAATTCCATCACTTAGAGGCAGTGATCGAACATCAAGAGTTCAGTGCCAGCCTCTAATGTACAGAGTTTGGGACCAGCCTGGGTTATATGAGACCCTGTTTCAATAAAATAGAAGAAAAAATTAATTGACTATATTATTAGGGTTGGTTTTAAACAGCCTGTTAGTTGCATAATTCATTTCATTTCCTCTCATAGTTTTATTCCCTCTTGAGTTTATTGAGAAAGGTTCTGGGGACAGGTATGTGATATACTCTGTATACTTACATACATGGTTGCTGTTGTGAGCTGAATAGGTTGATCAACTTGATGTGATTCATTTGTCTCTTCTTTACACCCATAAATCCTTTAATTTTTTTTGGTTTTGCTATTGAGACAGTGGCTCTCTATGTAACTCTGGCTGTTCTGGAGCTCACATGTAGACCAGGCTGATCTCAAACTCGCTGACTGCCTCTGCCTCCCAAAGTACTGGGTTTAGAGGTGTGCCCCACCACACCTGGCTCAGTCCTTTAGCTTAATACAGAAACCCTCTTGGTTCACACTCAAAATGGGTCTCATTTTACTCAATAGTCTTTCTTCATCATGGAGTTTAGTACGTGCTCAGGGAGCATGTATGTGCTGCCATTGTCCACATAACTTCACCAGTATAAACTCATTTAATCCTCCTAATGCATTTGTGTTGTGGTCACCATTGTCTACCTGTTTTACAGGACAGTTGATAGACAGTTAACATCAAGCTGTCTGGCTGGAAATTTCCCACAGATACTGTTTCAAAGGATAGAATACATATTTGGATATTACAGTTCAGTGTGGTTGAGAAATAAACGCTTTTATGATCTCATCCTGGATATTTAGTTTTGCAGATTTCCTCTTGATGGTCCTTGTTTATCTTGATGTGTGTTGTCATTGTCATTGCAGAGACAATGGACTCCAGATCTTGTCATTTCAGGACACTTTGATGGTGTCCAAGACCTAGTATGGGACCCAGAGGGAGAATTCATCATCACCACTAGCACTGATCAGACAACTCGCCTTTTTGCTCCATGGAAGAAGAAAGGCCAATCACAGGTTAGATCTTCCTCTTTACCTCAAGGCCTTTTTCCTTCCTTTGAAATCTCCCAGAGGAGCAGCCTCCTCAGACAGTAGGAACATGCAGGCTGTGGCTGTGATACACTGCATACATACTGGATTGCTCACAATGGGAATTAGTTGACAGTAGCAAATTTTGCATCCCATATTTTGCTTGTTGAAAAGGACTGATTTTTGAAGCATGTACTCCTTTTTTATTGTATCGTGTTTTAACCCCAGGTGACTTGGCATGAGATTGCAAGGCCTCAGATACATGGATACGACCTGAAATGTTTAGCCATGATTGATCGGTTTCAGTTTGTGTCTGGAGCAGATGAAAAAGTTCTTCGTGTTTTTTCTGCTCCTCGGAATTTTGTGGAAAATTTTTCTACCATTTCAATGCAGTCCCTGGATCACTTGCTTTGTGATGTGAGTATTCCTCTAAATGTTTTATTTCAGTCGTTTTCATTTTCAAATTAAAAAAAAGTTTGCTTCAGGCTATAGATGTAGTATACAAGTAGAAAAGAAGTTATATCGAATGTTTCTGGTTTGATAAGACTTATGTGAACCGTGGCATGTAATGATTTAAACATAGGCTGGAGAGATGACTCAGCAGTTAAGAGCATTTGCTCTTCTTGTAGAGGACCCATGTTTGGTTTTCAGTACCCACATGGTTCAGAACCATCCTTAACTCCAGCTCCAGGGGATCCGATGCTTTCTTCTGACCTTCATAGGCACCAGGCATTTATGTGCAGGCTAAACACACACATAAAAATAAATAACCAAAATAAATGTATAGACACAGATGTTTTGTATTTCAAATTATTTTGACTAAAGCAGCAATATCACACGTTTGCTTGAGACATGGCTGTCATGTCTTGCCTCTATGAGTAAGTTGAAGAATGAGCCCCCATCTTCATAACAATTACTGTAGGGCAGGAGTGGGCACTAATAAGGTGACACTAGTTAATTGCTACCTTTTTTTTTTTTTCTTTTGAGGTAGTATTTCATTATGTAAACCAAATTCATACAGATCCACCTGCCTCTGCCTCCCAAGTACCACCATTCCTGGCCTAATAGCTACATCTTATGACAGGAAAATTAGCTATGGAAGAAAGAGGTCATCAGTTAGAGTAATGAGGATGTTGGATTTTTTATTTTTGAGTTACTATAAATTTGTATATTATATGAGTGTCTTGCCTGTACATATACCTGTATACTGTCTGAATCATTATCTTCAGAGTACAGAAGATCTCTTGGGACTAGAGTTACAGATGGTTGTGAGCTACCATGTGGGTGTTGGGGATGGAACCCAGGTTCTCTGTGGAGAGCAGCTAGTGCTCCCAACCACTAAGCCATTGATTGCTCTAGCCTCAAAGAAAATGTTTTGGTAGGATTTCATTTATATTACAAGTACATTTTTTTTTGTTTTGTTTATTTATGCCTGCTTTTTACATAAGATTTGAACTACTTACAAAAATATATGACTTTGGTTTTAGAATACCGCTTGGGTTACTTAGCATGTACATGGCCCATGGTTCTAGCACTGAAGAAAAAAAATAATATGGATTATAAGTTTATGAAGTAGGTGGTATATGCTTTTAATCTCGTCACTCAGAAGGCCGAGGCTGGCAGATGTGTATGAGTTCAAGACTAGCCTGGTCTTTATAGTGAGTTCTAGATTAGCCACAGCTATACCTGTCTTAAAAATCCCAAATAAATAAATACATAAATAAATCAATAGTGAGTTCATGGAAATGAAGTGGGAAGACGGTTGGCTACAGAGAATGGTTCTGTTGCACATAAGCGGCTGTTTATACTTTGTTACTAGGAGTTGGGTCACAGGTAAAAGGGAGAAGAGAGAGAAAGAACCTGCAAGCAGAGGGAGGAAGAGCTGTTGGTGCTCCTAATGGTGTGAAGAGGGAACTGGAGAATTGAAGGAAAGTGCTGGAGGACCTTAGGTGGCAGGTGCACTTCACATTGTGCTGTTGGAAAGATGCAATGAAAAGCATTTTGATAGCATTGGGTAGGAGCCCAGAGATTGAGAGGGAAAGCCAATATACATGTGGGAAAGACAGAGAGAGCAGAGTGGCAGGAAATGAAGCTCAGCCTCATAACTCAGCTCTCTCAGTTGCTGGACGCAGTTGCTTCTGCTTCTGCTGCTGCTGAGCAGTTGGAAAACCAGAGGGAGCTCAGACTTCACGGGTTCAGGATCTGCCCAGCTCTAGGAAAAGGAGTGGGGTTTTCTGGGATCCCAAGAAAAGTGTAGCTCCCAGCACACTTGGTTCTGTGTGCTAGGACACTGGTTCCCTGAGGCTTCAAGTGATTCTCACTGATTGTGTTCTTGGGTTAGCATCAGGATTGCTTTACTGCCCTTTTCCACAGTGTATAGGATAGCATGCAGCACCTCGAATCCAGGCAGCCATTCTCAGTCATTCGGTGTTTTAAATTAATGTCACTCATGTCTAGTTGCAGCCTGTGTTAGAGGTGAACATTCAGCATATGGTTGTATACCATTTACGGCTCACATATGAGTGCAGGATCTAGCAGCGCATCGTTTCTGCAGTTCATACTTCACTAAGGTGTAAAGTAGCTTTACGTTATTTACGTATGCATAATAAAAATGACTTGACCATGCCTTTATGGGCCACATCCTTGTCCCAGGGGCATCCTTTGAGGCTTCCTTGGGGGCAGAGTTCTGGGCCTTGCATTTCACCCTGCTGAATGAGTCAGGACCTGTAGCCTGCTGTGGTGTGTGTGTGTGTGTGTGTGTGTGTGTGTGTGTGTGTGTTGGTAAGGTGGCAGACAAGTCTGTCTTGAAACATTTTCAGCATTTATGAACATTACTTTTTTTGTGGTAGTTGAGGTGTCAGTAACTTTTAGTGTCTGAAGTGTACATACTGTGTTTTTCATTCTAGGAAGACCCTGATTTTCCAGAGGGAGCCACTGTCCCTGCATTGGGGCTGTCAAATAAAGCTATCTTTCAGGGTAAGGATTTAATCTCCAAAATTACTAAACAGTTTATTACTTGAAACTTAATTACAAACTTGTGTAATATACTCCTGATGTTCACATGCAGGCCATGGATTCACAGAACACTCTAGAGATTGTGGCAATTTGAAGATCAGTTATATATGCTTAAAAATTTTTTTGTAAATATCTAGATGAAAGTAAATGGACAGAATCCTTATGGAATTCATTCCTACTTTAGGAGCCGATTTGGGCAAGTACTAGAGTAGAAATACCTGTGCAGTCTCATGGACACAGCTCTGAAATACACTATTTGGAAGGGCTGCTGCTCTCTGATATGTGGCAACTCCATTCATGGTATCCATGTTTTTCTAAACTAGGAGACATGGACCCTCTGCCATATGAGGAGGATGCACTCTTAATTAGCCCTGCCTTTGGGTATCCTGATGTGATGTTTCAGCCTGCCATCCTTTCTGGTAAGATATGACAAAAAGATAAGTTACTCACAGTCTATACTCTGTGGCTATGGACCCAGAGCTATGGCTTTTATTTTCTATGTGGCTAAAATTGGGGGGGGGGAAACACCAATTGTATTAAAATTTTATTATATAATTATTGTAGAACCTCCCACTGAGGATCATCTTCTGCAGAACACATTGTGGCCTGAAGTTCAGAAACTGTAAGTTGAGCTATGTTTTTGGAATCAGTCATTCATAGCTTGAGGGTTCCCTTATACCTTTCTCCTTCTCCTCGCTTCTACCTTCCTTTGTCTCTTGCCCAATAGAGCTTCATAAGGGTGAGACTCAAACCTCACATGGATTTGTTCTTCTCGTTTATGTTGCTGTTTCTTATGTTTATTAGTTGATATTAACCCAGATAGAGAGGTGTAATATAGTATGTGCTTCTGTTACTCAGCCAGTCCTTTTTATCTTTGTTGGTTCCCATCAACATCTTTCCGTGGTGGTGTATTGGACTGGCAGGCATTAGATGTGAAAACCTGTGTGTTAATCACATCATTTTGATGTGTTACATTACCTTTGGAGGCTATTGTTTTTCTCTGATTCCCTGCTTTTTCTCTCAATAGTTGCATAGGCAAAATAAGATGTTCTTTAAGGAATTATGAGTTAGGTCAAGAGAAGAATGGTCCTCTTCGCTTTAGAATTTTTTGCAGCATAAGAAAAGTATACTACTAATACAGATGGCATATGTTTTCTCCTTAAATTATAGGTATGGACATGGCTATGAGATATTTTGTGTTGCTTGTAACAATTCGAAGACTCTGCTTGCCTCTGCTTGCAAGGTAGGTGTTTAAGGTGTTTGTGTGTGTGTGTGTGTGTTTTAATTTTACTTGGTCATAGGCAATTGCTGTCATTGGGCTTTTGTAAATTCGGAAGATACAGGAAGAATCCACATGAAGGGAGCCTTTCATGTACTGTTGCCTGACTTATGTTCTCTTTTCCTCATCTCCCTTTAAAAACATGTGATTACATTTTAAATCTATTGTAGATACTCATTTATTCTTAGAGTTGATCCTTGAACAGTTTGGGTTTGGAGATGCCTTAGCATACACTAAAAAACTGTGCATATGATCTTACTAGTGTTTATATCACTGTAGAAAATGTCCTATGCAAACAGTGAAGTGGACCGGGTGTGCCACGACTGCAACAGCGCCCTCCTTGGGAGAGTGTAGCCTGTTGCTTGTGTCATAAGGCATCTGAGAGACAGTTTGCTAGTGTTTATATGCATGTATCAGATCTCGGGTTGTCCCCTAGGCTCCAGGCAGGTGCTTTTGAGAAACTTCAGAGCACAGTGACCAGGGGTTCTACTGGCCAGGTCATTGTGTTGTTCTACACCAAGCTACAGAGTAAAGAACATGTGACTGAGGCCTTGTCCAGAGCCATGTTCAAGTTCCCTGGCTGCTAGCAGCTGTTGCAAAAAAACTGGGGCTTCCTCAGGTTTAATGCAGATGATGTTGAAGATGTAGCTGAGACATGGCTCATCCCTGACTGCTGTGGGGTCATAGACAAGGGGCTGGCCATGTACTGCGGAGGTCTGCTGTGCTGAACCTGCCACTACCCTCCATTCATGCTCACTGGTAGATTCCACATCCTGATCACCTTGAAAGAAAGAAGAGAAAATTCCTCAGCAGCCATTCGAGACCCTTAGCTCCTAGGAAGGGTGCAGCCTAGTGAGCGCCTCCTGCCAACGGTTATTTTTATAATATATCTTTAAATTAGGAAAGTAATTGTCTTCCAACTTTATTCTTCTTTGGGTTATTTTATTTGTGTAATTTTAGAATCAGCTTGAAGTTGTCTTAGTCTCTTTGATGGGGATGGCAATGAATCTGTAGATCAATTTGAGGAGAATTTTAACACAACTGAATAATGTTTCTCCTTTAGATAAGTCTTTAATTTCTCCTAGGGATGGCCTTTTAAAAATATTTTACAGTAATTTTAGATTTAAAGAAAAATAGTGATTACTGCCTAAAATATCCATATACCTCACTTAGTTTTCTGTACTGCTTACATCATAATATCTGGAAGTCTGTAGGTTTTGGAGTCTGGTCTCACACAAATTCTGTGAAATTCACTCTTCCCTATGGTTTGTCTATTTTTCTGAGACAAGGAAATTCACTATGTAGATCAGGTTGGCCTTGAACTCTCAGAGATCTGTCTGACTCTGCTTTCCAAGTATGGGAACTAAAAGTGTGTCTTACCACACCTGGCACATTATATGATTTTTAATCTTTTTTTTTTTTTTTTTTTTTTTTTTTTTTTGTCTTTTTAGAATTAAACCCACTTTGTAACATGTTTTCTTTTTACATATTTTCCCACTCAGTTTGATACAAGTTTGTTAAGAACTTTATCAGGTGCTGGTGCCATGCTCAGTAGACCCCTCAGGTGTAAGTTTTATCCCTAGAATCCATATAGAAGAAGGAGAGAGCCAACTCTTACAAGTTTGTCTCTGACCTCCATGCATGACCTCCTCCCCACACATACACACACACACACACACACACACACACACACACACACACACACACACACACACGGAAAGTAACTATAGGTTTAAAAAAAAAATGTAAGGCCAGGAGTGATGGTTTACATCTGTAATCTCTGCACTGGGGTTGAGGTAGGGAGATCAGGAACCCTAGGTTAGTTTTAGCTGCTTCCATAAGGGATTTGCAGCCAGCCTGGGCTACATGAGACCCTGTCTCAGAAAACTCAAAACCCTGTATAGTTCTTTGTGGTTTTTGAGGCATAAGCAGTTTGGGCCTCATGGAGGGACCTCCTTTTCCACAGTCTCTTTGAGTAGCTTAAAAAAACTGGTATTTTTTTTTTTTCTGAGATTTTATTTTTCTTTTATGTGTGTGAATGTTTACCTGAATGTATGTCTTTGTACCACATACATGCATGCCTATGAAGGCCAAAAGAAGACATAGGCTCTCTCTCTTCTGGTTAGAAGCAGTTGTGAGCCATCCTGTGGGTACCAGGAATTGAATCAGAAGAGTAGCCAGTGTTCTTGACCCCTGAGCCATCTCTCCAGTCCCTCCCTCCCCAGTTATCTTTATAAAGCCTTCGTGGATTTTCTAGGTAGACACTGATGGAGGTGTTTTTTATGGGAAATGTTTTAACTATGTGTCTTATTGTTCTATAACCAAGTCAGCTCTTATAAAAGAAAACAGTTAATTGAGGCCAGCTTACAGTTTCATAGGTTAGTCAGGCCATTTTCATCATGGCAGGGAGCATGGCAGCATGCAGGCAGACATGGCTGGTGGCGAAGCTCAGAGTTCTGCATCCAGATCCATAAGCAGCAGGAAAAGAAAGACACTGGGACTGGCTTGAGCCCTTGAAACCTCAAAGCTCATCTCCAGTAGCACACTTCCTCCAACAAGGCCACACCTCCTAATCCTTTCACACAGTGTCACTCCCTGGTGACCCATTCAAATCTGTGAGCCTGTGGGGCCATCCTCATTCAAACTACACATTGTGTGGGAATCCTTTAATGGGTGTTAAATAAGGCCTTTAAGTTATACAATTATCCCTTAGAATCATGTCGGTAGGTGCAGAGTCACCAGTGATGCTGTTTTTTCTGTTGCTGTGATAAAAACCATGGCCAAGGGAATATAGAAGGAACGGTTTATGGGGAGTTACAGCTCCAGGGGGTAAGAGTCCATCATCATCACGGTGGCAGGACAGCTAATAGCTGAGAGTTTACATGTCAGACCATAAACAGGAAGCAGAGCCTTTAGGAACCTCAGAACCCTCCTCCAGTGAGCCCATACTTCCTAAGCTCCCCCAGACAGTCAAATGCCCAGACGATGAGGGGCAAACCTCCACAGATGGATAGCATCTTTTTATTCTTTCTACTGGCATTACCTCTCCTTCCACAACCCCTTCATATCTGTGTCTGTGTGTACCTTCTGTCTGCATCTTTCTTCTTTCTCACACTGCTGTAGTCAGTTCTCATAGTTTAGGAACTAGCTTTTCCAGAATAAGGCATTCATTCTACAAATTGTAATGTATTGTATTTCTTACTCAGTTAATACTTTGCAGCCTTTTGATCACCTTTGACCTCTTGGTTGTTTTTAAATGTATTATTTAGTTTCATAAACCAAGTGTTTTCTAGTTATTATTCAATGGCTGATTTTTATTTTTGTTTCTCATTATGACTTGAATCCTGTGAAATCAGATCTCATGAAATCTCATGTTCGGTTAGAAAGAGTGGTTTGTGTATAGCATCCTGGTGACTTAGTCACTGGTTAATTGAAGATGATATTATAATCTTTATGCTGTCTAGAGTAGGGTTTGAGATCTCTAACTGTACTAAGGGTATTTACCATTTTCTTTCAGTTTATATTTTATGTGTTTTGAAGCTCTGTGGGTAGATTGTTTGTAAATAGTTACGGTGCCTTCCTCTTCCTTGGTCTACTTATTTGTTATTGTGCAGTAACCCTCTTTCCAGTAATACTGACTCCTTCTTCACCAGAGTAGACTTCTAAACTGTTAACCTTTGCAGTTAATACACACATGACCTGTTGTCATAGAAAGTTCTACTATTATCATTACACAGGGTCCCTGATGAATCATCTCCCAGGAACTTTCTGTGGAGCTATATAGATAAATTCATTAAACTAGATCTACAGAAGACCGTCTGTTTTAGATACGTTCTTTTGGCGATTCTGCTTCCATGATCACTGTCTCGTCTCTGTCCTGCAGGCAGCTCAGAAGGAACACGCAGCGATCATTCTTTGGAGCACAGTGTCTTGGAAACAAGTGCAGAGTCTTGTTTTCCACACCCTGACTGTCACACAGATGGCCTTCTCACCTGATGACAAGTTCTTACTGGCTGTGTCCAGAGATCGAACCTGGTCTTTGTGGAAGAGGCAGGATGTGACTTCACCCGAGTTCGGTAAAGCAGCCTGAGTGGCAAAGGTTATCAGTAAGGCTGTCGCGTCCATTCTGTCCACACTGAGCAGCTGTGAGATCAAGAGAAAGGTGACAGGGAGAAGACAGCCTCCTGGCTGGGAGGGTTCAGCACTCTTGGGCAACTGGGGAGCACTCGGCTTTCATTGTTTTATTCAAACCGTTTTTTTCCTTTTAAGATTTGTTCATTTATTGTTTGTGTGTGTGTAAGGTGAGGGGACAGGCAGCTCATTCCTCATGGTGATGTGAAAGTGATAGGCCCTGGTACGGACTATTTCAGATTTGGAATCTTGATCTTCTCTTGAGTGTGTGATGTGTGTAGTGGGTCCGCAGCTATCCTGATGAAAGCCACTACTCCACAGCCAACTTGTGTAAGCTGTGACGTTCAGTAGACTGGGAATATTGGGTGAAGTTTTGACTTTGATTTGCCACTATAAGTTCGGAGTGTTTGTTTTCCTTTGATATCACTAGTGGCTTCCTAACTTGTAGCACTTGGTTTCAAAAGTTGAAGTGCCAGATCACTGAGATGGCTCAGCAGGTAAAGGCGCTTGTCACCAACTGAGGACCAAATTAATCACTGGAACGCACATGTGGAAGAGAGGCAAGCCCTACAAACTGTTCTCTAACAAGCACTTGTGTGTGCATATGCACATGTGGACATAACACACCCCCTAAATAAATAAACAAATGCTAAAAAATAAAGTAAAAAACACAAAAAGAAAAGGTTGAAGTAGTATAAATGATGCAGGTGCTAATTTGTTGAATGTCCTTGGATTCTTCATAAGCACATACATGTTTCATATGAAGGCTACTGTTAGGCCTTCTGCTTAAATATTAGTGGGGAAAATATGTATTCCCTTCTCTGCTTACAGTATTTTCCCCCTAATATGCAAATCTGGCTACTTCTAGAGTACAGGTAAATCTTCCCCAGACTTCTTGTTCTGGTTTTGTTTTTTGTGACAGGGTTTTTCTGTGTAGCCCTGGCTATTCTGGAACTCACTCTGTAGAGCAGGCTGGCATCAGACTCATAGAGATCTGGCTGCCTCTGCCTCCTTCTTAGTGCTGGGATTATAGGTGTTCACCGCCACCCAGCCCTGACTTCTTTTAGAATCATAAATTAGCCTTTAGTTGAATACTTGAAAGATTTTTTGTTGTCAGTCACCAGAGTGAGCGGGCAACATGAGCCATGTGCACATAGCCTTGTGAGGGGTGGGTTCCTGGACTCTGCTGCAGAGGGCAGCGAGGGTGAGGGCAGGGCGCAGCGAGGGTGAGGGCAGCCAGCGTGCAGAGGGCAGTGTGCAGCGAGGGTGAGGGCAGGGCGCAGCGAGGGTGAGGGCAGCAATGCAGCGAGGGTGAGGGCAGAGTGCAGCTTGGGTGAGGGCAGCAATGCAGCGAGGGTGAGGGCAGCGTGCAGCGAGGGTGAGGGCAGCAATGCAGCGAGGGTGAGGGCAGCCAGCGTGCAGAGTGCAGCTTGGGTGAGGGCAGCGTGCAGCGAGGGTGAGGGCAGCCAGCGTGCAGAGGGCAGCGTGGGTGAGGGCAGCCAGCGTGCAGCGTGGGTGAGGGCAGCACTGCAGTGAGGGTGAGTGTGTGTCCCCTTGTCCCCCTGCCCCCCCCCCCAGGGTCAAGTGGCCCTGGAGTTGATATTGGCGCCCAGACAGACCTTGCAGGTTAGAAAAGGAGCTGCTTGCTCTACTGGGTATAATGTGTGTGTGTGTGGTTATGTATTTTTTTTTTTTTTTTTTCTCCTCAGACCCATTTTTCAGTCTCTTTGCATTCACCAACAAGATAACTTCCGTGCACAGTAGAATCATCTGGTCTTGTGACTGGAGTCCTGATAGCAAGTATTTTTTCACTGGAAGTCGAGACAAAAAGGTAATTTTTTTTCAATAAAAGATAAAATAATACTTTTTAAAATGTAAAATAATGTTTTAAAAGCACATTATTCTGCCTTTCTGATATGATGTTTACACATTCATGACTTCTCCATTATCTGTGTACATTGGAAGGATTTTCCTTGTTGAACTCTACAGATATATTTCTCTGAAACATAATCAGAAGACCTTTTGGTCAGTTTCTTTCATCAGATAGCCCCAGTGCAAGAGAAGCAATGAATAATGAGCTCTTGGTCAAGAGTAAGAGCCCAGGGGAGCAGGGGCGGAGACACCATTTCTAGTCTTCTGACCAGTACTCTCATGGGGATGCGCTTTCTTTGTGTCTGTTGAGTCACCTCCAGTGATACAGTCTACCTCATCAGTGCTGGGCTCGCTACAGTGCCTTGCTTAGGATTTGTTTGTTCTGGTTTGGGTTTTATTTTTAATACAGGCACTGGGAATCAAACACAGGTTCTCATGTTTGTGTGGCAAACCTTTAAAAAGACTCAGCCGTCTGGTCGCCCCAGCTCCCATTTTCCAGTGGTAAAGGCTAGGACCTTTTAATTCCGTGACAGAAGAGGGGCAGAACGTGACAGAAGCTTGAAAAACTCAGGAGAAGTTAGGCAGTGCTCTGTGTTTGCACCCACCCTTTTCCTTCTTGCTTAAGGACTGCCCTTAGCTCCTGCTTGCCCCTCTGGATTCATGCTCTTTAAAATTGTCACTTCTGAATTTCCTAGTCCAGGGCTGCTAGAACGGTGTCGTGTTTCTTTTAGCTGCCCTTCCCTTTCTACTGAGAAAACTCCAGATAATCGAAACAGTGTTGGCTTGGGCCTGGTGACACCCAGGTTAAACATGAGTCTGTCTGTAGTCATTTTCCCAAACTGGCTGTTTGGTCCCTTCCTGGGTCCCTTGCTGGGTGCTGAGGAAGCAGGCTCTATCTGCCTAACTACCGGGTACAGGGTGGCTGAAACAGACCGACTGCACCTACAGCATCTCAGAAGTATGTGCTTCCCAAAGCCTCTGTTGAGAATTATGCTTTGGTCCTGCATTTGCAGCTTGTCCATCTGCTTTCTTCTCCATTTCTTTGTGGCCAGACAGACTTCCTTGAGCCCTGGGCTCCAAGGGAAGCCTTGTGCCTTACGTAGAGTATTGTCAAAGTACTGTCCTCCTGATCGCCAGGTTGACTGCCTGAGCATTAGGCAGTATAGAAGAGGGGCCTGGTTCCCTCTCCAATAACCCTGTTGCAAGTTCTGAGGGTGGCATCTGTAGCCAGGACATGGTGAGCAGGATTTCACTGCATCGGAACTATGTTGTGTGTTACAAAATGCACTAGATAACACTCATGCTCTCTGGATACACTTCTGTAGCTGAGATCTCAACCCATGTCTGCCACACTCCTCTGTGATGTACAAAACCCCAGAGCAGATAGTTTTCATCCTTTACTGGGATTTGAACACACCACTAGAAACCTTGCCAATGTCATTTGTGTTCTAGGTGGTTGTCTGGGGCGAGTGCAACTCCAACAATGACCTCATGGAACGCAGCATTGGCCCCTGCTCCTCTATCCTAGATCTGGGCAGTTCTGTGACAGCTGTCAGTGTCTGCCCTGTGCTGGACCCAGCCCAAAGGTCAGTTTCTTCAGATTTGGTTGTTAAGTAGCATCTCAGCTTTTAAATCAGCCCAGTGGTGGTGGTGCTGGCAGCACCCTTTAACCATAGCACTTGGGAGGCAGAGGCAGGCGGATCTCTGAATTTGAGGCCAGCCTGGTCTACAAATCAAGTGACTTACAAAACAGGCGGGGAAGGGTTAAATGGGGTAAGGGGCTTTGTGAGCTCTGGAGCTCTGATCACTGATGTCCTGGTGAGAAGGAATTTCCTTTCTCTGGGGCCTTTTTGAGAATACAGAGCACCCAGTACATTCATAACAACAGATATTCTGGAGTCTGTATTTCTTGCAGACTTTGCAAGTCAGAAGTTAATTGTGGTGGGTTGTTACCTAGAATGTTAAATTCTACTTTTGTAATAAATAATAAAGGTTCTCAGCAGGAGAATAGGAGTTGGTACAGCCTGCTGGGGAGACATGAGCTTGTGGGCTTTGTAAGCTAAGGACACATGGATCTTCATGCATCCTCTGCAGAGAGGAGCCTGGAGGATACAGCAGAGGTTGTACAGGTGGGTGATAGAGATGAGAGAAATTTGTCTGAACCAGCCTGCCCTCTCTCTCCCTGGAAAACAGATATGTGGTTGCAGTCGGATTGGAGAATGGGAAAATTTGTTTATACTCCTGGCAAAAGACCAATCAAGAAGTCAATGACTGGACCCGGTGTATAGAAACAACTTCAAGGTATTTTCTTTCTACTTCGCATCTGTCTGATTAGATAGAAACAGGATCAGGTCAGTCTTTGGTGGCCAATTTTCTGACCATTTTCCTGGAGAGGGACATATATCTCTAGTACTTAGAGCCTATTGTGACATTTGCTAGTATGCTGGACTCAGGTTTTGGTTTACTCAACTTAGATTGCTGGTTTTTGTCATACTGCTTTCACAGACATTCATGACTACCTCTCCTCTCTCTTCTGTTTTGCTTTCTAGGGTGGGAGGTGGGGGGGGTGTCTCTTGACCCTGATTCTCTTCCATCTCCTACACTCTGGGATCACACCCATTTTTTAAAAATGTGGTGCTGGGATGGAACCTGGGGCTTCATACATGTGAGACAAGCATTCTACCCGCTAAGCTACATCCCTAATTCCAGCAGAGGCTATTTTAATGTGCCTTTATGCACATGTTAATTGTTAATGTTAACTGTTTTTTAATTAATGTCAAAGCTTTCAGGAAGTCATTGATAGCTTTCTGTGTCTCATTTTATTGAGCTTTCCCGTCTTCCCAGTCTGTACTGTTAAAGTATAACTTCAGATACTTTTTTAGATGACAGTATCATGGTGAGTGTGAGAGATTAAGGAGAGAGGTCCTTGCAGCCATGTCCTCTAGAGTAGCCTGTCTCTGTTAGTGCTCTTTGTAGCTGTTAAAATGTGTCTGTCTTGTTGTAGTAGCTTGTGTTTAACTCGCTGCAAAAGAAAGCAGCCCTGAACGTCTATCTTCCATCTGACATCCTTGCTCTTGCCCTCCCTTCCCCTTTACTTCCTTCTGTCTTCCTCCCTTCCCCTTTACTTCCTTCTGTCTTGTCTGTACATAGAGCTGTCAATGTGGTTTTTGTGTGTGTGTGTGTGTGTGTGTGTGTGTGTGTGTGTGTGTGTGTGTGTGTGTGTGTTACTCAATTAGACTTGGCCTTTTTAAAACTCAGCACCCATATATATAGAGCTTGATATTCACACTAAATCTACCATTTTGATTTACAGTGTCCAAGTGACTGGTGACTGCTTTTTCAGATTCCCCCTCACAGGGAGATTGACTCTCATTGAGGCACTCAAGTCACAGTCTGCATAGCATGGAAGCATTTCCTCTAGAGTGTTTTCAGAAAACATTGTACACAGCAGCACCATCTTGTGGCTGTTTTGTAAGCTATGACATCTCTCCTGGGTTGGACATGACTCCCTGAGCTGAAGTAGATCAGGCCTGTTAACATGACTTATATAGGGGCAACAGACCTTCAGGGGAGCCTCAGGGGGCCCTCACTCTCTGAAATTATATGAAGTGAACCATTGACAGGTGTGTAGCTGCCCATCCATCCCCCAAACTATTGCTTGACTGGGCTGAATCCTGTCTGTGTACTCTGTCTCAGTGAAAGGGCTCATGCTCACTCAGATCAAACACCTTTCTTCAGACTTGTACTTCATTCTTGCCTGCTGACCTACTGGCCCATCTAAAGGTGAGATCTGTGCCCTATGTCCTCTTTCAGTCTTTCTGCTTTAAAACCTGCGTAGGAGTTATGCTTTTGACTTCATTCATTTTGAGTGTGTGTTTACAAGTTTGACATGGAAAGCATTGTACTTTCTCTAGGAGCTATGGATAATGGTAGTGTTTTAGGCCTGCTTTTGGGGGGACTTGGGAGCAGGAACCTGCTCTGTTCAATTTACTGTCTTGCCCGACACCCTACCGTTAGGTCACCCTGAGGCTGTGGCTCTTACTGTGCAGTCACTGAGGGTTTTACAGCATCTTTCTTTTTACCTAGTAGTAAAGGTGTTAAGTCCATCCATCTCTTCAGCAGTGTCAGCAGAACAAAATAACCTGAAATATGTTGCAAAATTGAAACACATTCAGTAATGTTATTTTGAAAGACTAGATTTTAAGAAATTTAAATGTATTTATGTGTTTGTGTATGGGCATGTACAAGCAATGGTCTGTGGAGGTTAGAGGTTGACTTGGAGGAGTTGGATTCTCAGAGGTGTTGAACTAAAATCTACTGGCTTGTTTGGAAGTGCCTTTACCTACTGAGATTTCTTGCTAGCCTCTGAAAGTTGTAATAGTCCTTTCGGGTCAGGCGGTGGTGGCGCACACCTTTAATCCTTGCTCCCAGTCGATAGCTATAGACAGGTCTCTGGTTTTGAGGCCAGCCTGGTCTACAGAGTGAGTTCTGGGACAGCCCGGGCTACAAAAATCCTTATACAAAAAACAAAACAAAGGTCATTCTTCTGATGCTTAAAACGTGGTAGCAGAAATGTATTATTTCTTGTTCTTTTTTGGCCAGAGAGTAAAGTATTGTTAGTCTGTTTGAAAAGCAAATAGAGTAAGATACTTTCATTGTAGAATAAAATTACTGGAGTGTTAGACTTCTATCCTCTCATATCAGCTGTGCGGGCGCCCTGGTTATATCACTGCAGACGAACTTGGAGTGGGGTACTCTGTAATCATGGCTTGTGTTGACCTTTGATGTCTCTGTGTCATTTGCAGCCAGAGTCATGCACTTGGTATCAGAAGGATATCATGGAAGAGCTGCAGTAGAAACGCTGGGAAGCGGCAAGAGGGCATCGAGTGGCTGCACTTTGCAAGCTGTGGCGAAGATCACACTGTGAAGATTTACAGGGTTAACAGATGTGCACTGGCAGGCTCGACCACTACCAATCCTGATGGGTCTTAAAATGCATGCTATGTAAACCTTCATGATTGAATGAGTTTCCCTATCTGGGTCTTAGTTCTTCTCCTGTCCCCTGAAGGCCATAGTTGCTTTCCCTTGTTATATAGTACACATACAACCACCCAGAAACCTTATCCATGCTGTCAGAGATGATTGGATCTACCTCTATGTGTTCCAGATTAAGAACATTTGTTCTTCATGGCCAGATTTGTCTGATTTTGCATTATGTTGAGTCTTTAGCTCTCTCTGTTTTGTGTTATGACAAAATGCTAGAGGAAGGTACTAGGTAAAGAAAAAAGGTTATTTAGCTCTGAGTTCTGGGCGTTCAAGAGCATGGCCCTGGAATCTGCTTGGTGCTAGTGAGGGCCTTGTGGGTGGGATGACAATAGTGGGAAATGTCTCTGGAAAAGGGAGGTCACATGATGGGACAGGAAGCAAGAGACTGAGGGAGGCACCTGACCACCAGTCAGGACAGTCACTAAACCCTGCCTCTGCAGGTCCTCTTCCTGTCAGCGTCATCACAGTAGATGGTGAACTTTCATCATGTAACTGCTACACTCAGACGTGTGCAAAGCACTTTCTCTGGGGTGTTTTCTTATTTATCATCTTCAGAGTCTGCAGATTGAGGAAATAACAGAGAAGCCCAGAGTGTTCGAAATAAGCACACCACACAAAGTGGTGTCTTGACCTCTTCTTCCTGCTAGCTGCCAAGTATTCTGGAACTTGATCGGTGGTTGTAAGCTTGAGTTATAGCCATTCCCTTCCTTTGTTTAAAGAAAGGCATTGAGATTTTTCTTTTAAAAGCTTCAAGTATCATTTCCAGATGTAAAATTAGGGGCTGGACAGTAAGCGATCTGAGTTTAGGTGACAGCTGATGTCATGAGATCCAAGGGTATGTGTCATCAGGGAGACTGCAAAGGGAAACAGGAGCTGGAGACATTGGGTTGAGCAAAGCCTGTACTAGTGGGAGCTTGGGAGAAATGTGGACTGCTGCAAGGCTGGAACTCACCACAGCCCTCCTGGAAAATGGTCATCTGGCAAATTGAATGTGAAGAAGGAAGGTAAATGAGGATTTCCATGGTGGAAGCAGATACATTGTCAAGCTGAGGTTATCTTTCCCCTTACCATGCTGTTTTTATTACTATAGGTCTGTAGTATAACTTGAAATCAGGGATAGTAATGCCTCCAGAAGTTCTTTTATTATTCAAGATTGTTTTAGCTATCCTGGGTTTTTTTGTTTATCCATATGAAGTTAAAAATTGTCTTTCCAATATCTGAGAAAAATTGTATTGGAATTTTGATAGGGATTGTCTTGATCTATAGATTACTTTTTGGCATGATGGCCATTTTTATTTATGGTTGTGAGCCTAGCCTTTAACGGCTGAGCTATCCCTCCAGCCCATGATGGCCATTTTTATTGAATTAACCCTGGTGACCCAAGAATAGGGACATCTTTCCATTTTCTGATGTCTTCAATGTTTTAAAGTTTCTATTGTACAAGTCTTTGACTTGCTTGATTAGAGTTATCCCCAAGGTATTTTTTGAGGCTATTATGAAAGGTATTGTTTCTCTGATTTCTTCCTCAGTCTGTCATCTGTATACAGGAAGGATACCAATTTTTGTGATTTAGTTTTGTGTCCTGCTACTTTGCTGAAGGTGTTTTTCAGCTGTAGAAGCTTCTGGTGGAGTTTTTAGGGTCTGTTACACATAAAATTATGTCATTTCTTTTTCCTTTCCTCGTTATGTCCTCTTGATCTCCTTCAGTTGTCTTTATGGTTCTAGCTAAGACTTTAAGACTACATTGAATAGATATGGAGAAAGTAGACAGCCTTGTCTTGTTTCTGATTTTAGTGGAAATGCTCTGAGTTTCTCTCCATTTAGGTTGTTGTTGGCTGTGGGCTTACTGTATAGGTCCGATATTATTTTGAGGTATATCTGTGTATCTCTGACTCTCTGGGCCTTATTTGTGTGTGTGTGGTCTTTGCAGACAGAGTTTCTCTGTGTATCCCTGAAACTCTATGTAGCCCAGGCTGTCTTTGAACTACTGTAAATACAGTTCAGGGGGGAGGAGGAAACCTGTAAGCACATTGTCCCTGAGCTGAGGGTAAGAATGGAGAGGGTGTCATGGAGGACAGACAGGGAGGATAGTGTGAATCATCTAACCTGAGGCCAGCCCTGTGTGGTCACTGGGGTTCCACATAGAGAGTGTTTCTGGGTACTGACACAAGGGAATAGGAGTGAACTAGAAGGGAGGACTGGGAGTACCACAGGAAGTGGGAAAGCTCATTCAACCAAGGTTTGGCCAAGTCCCCAGGGAATGGAGGTCCAGTCAGTGTTCTTAACTACGGAGGCATCTCCAGCACTGCATGTGCTGGGGGAAAAAAGAATTGATTTTATATTTTAGTTATGTGTATGTGTCTGTGTGTGGGTGTGTACAAGTGAATGCAGGTATGCAAGGAGCCCAGAGGTGTTGGATTTCCTTGGAGCTTGAGTTACAGGTGGCTGTTCAATGCCCATGGGTACTGGGAATGGAATTCCGGTCCTTGCAAGATCAGTATGTGCTTCTAACCTTAGAGCCAACTCCCCAGCTCTGTAAGTGTCTCTTTTGGTCTCCCTGTGCCTCTGCCTCTCAACTGCTGGGTTTCATGTGTGAGCCACCATGCCTAGCTCCTTGTAAGCGCTTTTGGGGCCATATTGCCCATTCTTTTGGCCTTTCAAAAATGACTCTGGCTGGGCAGTGGTGGTGCATACTTTAGATCTCAGTACTCAGGAGGTAGAGGCAGGCAAATCTCTGTGAGTTCCAGGCCAGCCTGGTCTATGGAGCTAGTTCCAGGACAGCCAGGACTTCATAGAGAAACCCTGTCTCAAAAGAAAGAAAGAAAAAAAAAAAAAAAAAAAAAAACTGAAAAATCAAATAAAATCAAATACTTGAACCCTAGTCATTGGTGTATAAACTAGTATTTAGAGGAATTAAAACATTTCATTACACGTAGACGTGTGTTGTGAGCATGTGAGTGGACTTCAGAGGATGACTCCCTGAAGTCAGGTCTCTCAGTCCACCATGTGGCTCCTGGGGACAGATTCCAGTGATTAGGCTTGCTGTTGAATGCCTTTCCCAGAGGAGCCGTCTGAGGGTGGGCAACTTAGCTTTAAATACATAAAAAATACATTGATGGATAGAATAGATGGATCAAACACTATACCAGTGTGTTAAAGGAGCTCTGTGTAGCCACACAGTCTAGAGAAGGAGCGTTACGTCTGGTAATGGATAAACACATTCACATTTTTAGTGGAATAGTATCCAGCCTTTAAAAGAGCAGAGATTTTCACACTGAAGCTTGGGTATGGTGGTTTAAATAGGTGTGGCCTCCATCGACTAATGTGTTTGAATGCTTGACCCATAGGAGGTGTGGCCTTGGGGGAGGAAGTGTGTCACTGGGGGTGGGTTTTGACATCACATGTATTTGTAAGCCATGCTTAGTGTCAGTTGGCCTCTGTTGCTTGTGGATCAAGATGTAGAACTCTTAGCTCGTCCAGTATTATGTTTCTTCTGCATGCTGTCATGTTTTCAAGATAGTGGATTAAACCTCCAAACTGTGAACCAGCCCCGATTAAATGTTTTCCTTTATAAGTTGCTGTGGTCTTGTAACACTCTGGAGAGCAGTCCCTAAACCTCGAATGGGCAGAACAATAGAGCCACCCCATTGGCAGAGGAGTGGGCGAGCCAGATAGTATTAGCATGGGGTAGCGCATTGCTCACCTGTCATGTGGCAGAATGGGCAGAAGAGAGATGTCCTGCCCCGCCCCACTCCCATGCCTGCTGCCCATCAACGCCTGAGGCAGGTCGGAGAGCTGACCCTGCCCCTCATCAGCTGTAGCACTTGGGAGAGTGACCTCTACACCATGCCTGGGCGACACAGTAGAGCCGGCCCTGAAGGTGTAGGTAGGTGTGGGAGATCTGACCCTGAGCACACGAAAGCCCGAGAACTGGCCCTGCCCCTTATTGCTGCAGACTCACCAAGGCAATGCAGGAAAACAGGGGAGAGCTGGCAGCCTGTCCAACCCTGCAACTACCCAGGCTCAGAGCCCTCCCCAACATCCACCTCATCTGTGATCTGCAGACCCAAGCTGCAGGATTTTCACAACACAGGGCAACAGTGGGTAACCTAAAGGAGTTTCAGTAAGGGCCCAGCATCGAGAGTGTAGTAGAAACCAGAGGCCTCAAACCAGACCAATGACTCTTTGCAATGATGAACACTTGCAGGTAAAGATGGATGGATAAAAGGATTTACTTTGTGATTCACTGTCACACTACAGCTTCCATGACAAGATCCCCCCCCCCTTTTTTTCTCTTAAATTTTATGTGGGGCAGGCCATGCAAGGGTAGAGGGTGGATATGCAGGGACTGGAAATGAATGGGATCCAGATGCATGCTGTGAAAGACAGACTAATGAGAAAGTGAAAGAAAAAAAGAAAGAAAAAAAAAAAAAAAAAAAAGCTTGCTGTTCACATGGTCATGGTTCACAGCAACGGAAACCCTACCTAAGACAACAATTAACATTCTGAGGGTTCATGCTAAGTGAAATAGACCAGCTACAAAGGCAGACACTATGTGACTCACTTATCCTAGCTCCAGAGAAAGCATCCCTAAAGACAGTACAGTGGTGCTGACCGGAGCCTAAGGGAGAGTTGTGTGATGGGCACATCACAAGACAAACAGGTTTTGGAGATTGTACAATGAGCATACAGGAAACCTGAATACAGTTGGTGCTTACAATGGCAGGTATATTTAACCACAGTTTTAAAAGATGTTCATATACACCCTTTTCCTGGGTGTTAATTGGCATGCCTTAGAAATACCCAAATAAAATATATTTGGACACTAAGCTAAAACAGGTATCTTCACTCTGGACATTGGGGTCATTATACTAACTTTTTATATGTTTAAAAATTCCCTGTATAGTCTCTAAACGGGAAAAGGTATGACGGGCAAATCCATAGTTGTGATACCAAAGGATGTATTTTGTTAATCTGTCCCCTTCTAACAAATTGTAGGTGGCTCAGTTGGAGCCCCTGACATCACAAGCAAGAATCCTGGATGACAGGGACCATGAGGCTGGAGGGAAGGGAGAGAAAGAATGGATGGTCGTGCTCTGGGAGGTCTAGAGAACCCTGAACCCAATCAGTGGACCTATTCTAGAACCA